TTTATTGTTTTAAATCAACTTGATTTAGTTTTAATTGATTTAATAAGCGAAGTAAAGCGATAGATCGCGTGTGGAATCGTCGTTTTTTTAGACAATCGAAGTTTAAAAAATAAATATTTCTTAGAAGAAAATATCATTAAAAACAAAACAAAATTCGATGAATAATAAATTAAGAAATAGACATTTATTGAGAAAGAAAAATGTATCCTTATTTACTACCTTTTTTTTTTAATGAGAAATTGAATGTAAAATCAAGAAATTTGAATATTTTTAATTCAGAAAGTACCACCAACCCATATAAAAAGCTCGTAAGATGAATAAAAATGGCAAAAATTTTAAGAAAATCTACTTGAAGATTTAAAAGATTCATTCAAGTTTTACGGACCCAAAAATGCTTGTTTTTTTTCGATTCTTCACACCCAAAATTGCTTATTTGTTCGATTCTTTGGACCCAAAAATGCTTGTTTTTTAGATTCTTTAGACCCAAAAATGCTTGTTTTTAGATTCTTTAGACCTAAAAATGCATTGTTTGTTCGATTCTTCACACCCAAAATGTTTTCTCGTAGAAATCTTGCAGATCCAGTCGTGTAGATTGTCATACAAATCCAAACCTTGCCTTGAATTTCTTAGTTATAACTTCCTTTTTCATCATTAATTAATGATAAGTTTTAAATTTGTTTCCTTATTTAAAATTAAAAATATATAATATACAGTATATATATTATATTTTATAGTAATTCATATAATTGTCATAATAATAGCTAGATTAGCAATACAATAATTACTTTATTGAAGATTTTACAAAGTGCGAATCGAGTTTTAACATATTTTTATGTAACTTTGTCTGATTTTTATCTTCAGAAAAATCGTATAAATCTAACTAATTTCTTACTTGATCTGTAAACAAGAAAAATATAAAAAATAAAAGCAAGAGTAGCTATTTTGCAATAAGCGGATGACTCAAACGATTATCGTCACGAATTACTTATGTATAGATGTGACAAGGAAAAAAGACTACGACAAAGTAGTAGCATTAACATTAAGGAAATTCGTGATGCTTAATAATTTCCAGAAGTTAATTCCTGGAAGAAAATATATTAGGATAAGTCCTCAAATCGTCATTGAAGTGCTCTGAAGTCAAATCGCTTTGCTTTCTAATTTATTGATGAAATTATGAAATTTTTATGAAGTTATTCGAAAGTTTTATTATTTTTTTATTCATTTAACACCTTAGGTCTTCAGCCATACACGTTTTTAGTATAGAAACAATGATAGATACGAAGCAGAGTGCGTTTACCGCTTCAGAAAATTGATTTTCTTGGTAACGTATTGCAAACTCCACCGTTATTTTTCTTGTAATTTTTTTTAAATTTAATATCAAATTCAAGTTTTTTTTTATTCGTTAAAAAAATATTTCTGACGTGAAATTTAATAATGAATTTTTTTTTCTCTCTGAACGCCCACGTATTTACACGAATGCATATGATGTCAGAGTAACTTTTCTTAATCTCACACTATATAACCGGACAGACACCAAGGTGAAATGACGTCAAAGTTACAAGAGAAATTGCAGTTTTAATTATTAAAATAAAAAATCTTTAAAGAATTATGAAGTTTCTTTTTTTTTCTATGCGACTCCATCGAATTTAAATTTGGTTTTCCCATATTCTTAATGATTTCTTATGGATTTATTCTTATCCAATTAGTTTGGATTTTTATAGTTAATAGAAAATTAGAGAGCGAAATTAATTAAAAATTTTTAAATGTAATTATATTCGCGTCACGATATTTAAGGCCTTGTTTTAGTTGTATTTATGCCATCAGATCGGACTAATTAAAGATGACATTTTGAGGTAACCTTAAATGAGTGGTTCATTTCTTTACCAGATATCATTTACTTGTATTACTATAAAAAAAAAATCACCCTCTAGTTGAGGTTTTCGACGATAGGTGGCAGCACTAATCTAAACGTTTTGTTACGTCTCAATTGATTTATTTCGTATTACATTGATTGCTTGTACGCCATTTTTTATGCAAAAAGCATATACAGGCTTAAATGAAATTTTTGGGTACTGTCGGTCGAAACCCAACACTATCTAAAAGCTTGTACAATATCACGTGATCTATATGGGTTACATTTTTACATAAACTTATACAATAGGAGATCTCGCTAGTTAACACGTACAGTACCTCACTGGCGCGTTATAGCTTCATGGGACCCAGGCGAATTTGAATTAGGATGTCCCAATTAACACGTACAGTACCTCACTGGCGCGTTATAGCTTCATGGTACCCAGGCGAATTTGAATTAGGATGCCCCAAGTACGGCGTTGGCTTCAGACATTTTTCTTCAAGGAAATGTTTTAAGAAATATTTTCTTATAAAAGATTGGTTTGGAGTCCCAGACAATTGCCCATGGTATAACGCGCCACTTATATGCCCAGCGTCTCGCGCAATTTACAATCCCGCTACTCCATAGGATCTATGTTTTGAATCACATAAATTACACAAATATATATGTAAATATTATTAAATTTCGATTTAAAAAATTTACGTGTAGGCGTAAATCAACTTCACTGTTGAAGGTTTGTTGTTTGTATATTGTATTCCATTATCGAAGTTCGTTTGTATCCTGTTTTTAATAAACATCATTGTTTTCCAGGTATTAAAACTACTATTTTTTTTCTAATTTAACATAAATGATAATATCGTGACACGCTGAGCAAAATTACTTAGAAACTTATTTTTTATTCTTCATTACAGTAGCAATTCTTAAGTAATTTAACCTTGAAGCTCTCACGACTTCATAAATACTTCTCTTTACTTATTTATTATTATTAATCTATAATATCGTAAAATACAGTTATAAACTAATAACCTATCTAATTTTCGAAAGAAAGGTAAAAACAGTGTGATTATTTGTTTATTTTAAGTTACATCTTGTATTTAAGTTTTTGGCTTTCTTAATTGGATAGTTTGAATTTTTGAAAACGATTAAAATAATCGTATTGGATGATTCAAATTTTTAAATAAATAAATAACCGTCTTATTGGATAATTCGAATTTTTAAATAGATTTTTGTTTATAGTAATTTTTTAATAAATAAAAAATCATCTACGTAAGCCGCTAATTGACATGTTTATAATTAAAATGCCTGGAGCATAGTTCTTACGCATATTTTTTCGTTTTATAAAGGAAAAAAAACAATAATGATATATTACTATAATAATTCGCGAAAATCTTTAATTTTACGGATTAACCGCGTTTTTTCCTACAAAAGAAAACAAAATAAAAAGAGAAAATCTTCAACATGACGGAATGTTGCCACCCTTGTTCTACAACCTTCTGTCAATGGTTATCCTTGCACCCCACTTCGACCTCTTTTCACCGGTTCAAAGGTCATCTGACCGAAAAGAGGTCCGCCCGCTTATTTTCACCTCATCACGCCAAACGTGACAAAGAGTTTACGCCTTCGAGTTGACTTATCCTTGTACCAACTAGACGTGTGTCTTGTTGGTTTATGCGCTTAAACGAGCGCCAAACAACATTTAAAATATTGTTCCAGCTCTCATTGTTTGTCTCGTGTGACAGATTGAACGGATCGTGTTCGCAATGAAAGTGTTGACGGAGCTTTACGTAAGTAACTTGTCTGTAATACTGTTATTCTGCGCCATTAACTTTCTATATATTGAAGCAGGAGTGTCATTTTTTTTATTGAATTGTTCTTTGTTCTTCGTGTAAGGAGCTTTGCAGTAGGGGCCTCTTTTTATAAAGTCATTACCGGTTCTTTCAGGCCCACAATGAGGGACGAAATCCGACATATCCGAATCACCCCCGAGAAATTCCTGGGGTTCTTTTAAATGTAATTTACTAAAAATGACAATTTATGAAATTAAATTCGAGGGAAATTATTAACAGAAACGAATCCCATTTTTACGATTAAAAAGTATATAGAAAGCTGTTTAAAAATAATTTTAAAAATTTAAATTAAATTGTCAAATTAATGATGTAAAAGTTCAAATGATGAAGAAGATATTTAGGTTAGGTCAACACTTTTTCTCTGTGTTAAATATTAATTTAGTGATGTTGTAACATTACTAAATTTACGAATTCATTAAATTTTTTCTTCTTCTTCTGTTTTTTTTTTTTTTGTTTCTCTTATTCAATTTAACAAAATTAAAATTTAAGAAGAAAAACTTTCTGGCATTTGTTAAATTAATGTTTTTTTTATAATTAAATTTATTTTTGTTGACTTTTGGTCACAAGCAAGATTAAATTGCACTGGTCGGTTAATTTTTCATAAGTTTTATCTAAGTGACATATTTTTGCTGTATTTTTTTTTGGGGGGGGCAAAAGGAGACTAATAAAATTAAAGCTTGCTCTTTATTCTTATTATATTTAATGTTATTTAATTAAATTAGATTTTTCTGGCTTCAGGTTTGAAAAAAATATGCTCTAGAACTCATACTGATATCGATTATACATGCAAAAGTTTACATAAATTATCTAGGTGACTGTACAGTAAAGTATTATAAACCTATACCCGTATTCGAGCCATGTCAAACTCTAATTTTATCAATAGAGCAGTGTAGGATTTAGGAGTGCACCCCCTTCTGAGGGTTTCCCCGGAGAAAAGCCGAGTACATCAGTAAATAATTTTATAAAGCCTCTCGTTTTCTTTCTGCTGCACCCCTCTAAAGATTTCTGGATCCTCTATTGAGGTAGGGCATCGTTCCTCATCACTCATTCGTGCTGATCGACCCCATTGCGGGTCAGACCCATCTCGTAATAAGCGTATTTGTGGCCGGCTACGTAATCTATTATTGGCATTAATTAATTAAAAATTCTCGAGTAAATCATGCAATATTATGATTTAAAAAAAATTAAATTCTAGAATAAATTCTAGATAACAGAGTAATCTCAAACAATTAAATATATAATAGTAAATAACGTTACATCACATTTAAAGTATATATTCCAATGTAAATGTAAGGTTTATTTTTAAAAACATTTCACACGTGCATCTCGGTATTACCTAAAAAGTACAGACAGACATTTTTCTTTTTTTTTTCCTGTTAAGAGAGAGAGTATGTTATCGTCCGAATAGGCTAACAGCCAATTAGGAATTAAGCCAAGGGGAATTGTTTTAAAATATTTTAAACGTAGCAGACAGCAAGTAGTATTTACATCCTATTGCGATTCATGTAAGCAAGATTTTTCCAGCGACAAACTGGAATTATAAAGCAAACTGGATGCTCCATTTGGTGGGTCAGATACGCTACGCGACACAGGGACCCACTGACCTGATAAGTACTTAAGTATAATTGTAGAGCATTCGATGTTTCGTCTTTATTATATTATTATTCAGCAGATATGATTGAAGTGTATTTTCAAGTAAGTTCTAATTATTATTGAATTCCTCTTCTTTCTATAATAATAATAATTGGATTTTATTGTAGGCATTATTCTAGTTATTTAGCTGAATTGGTTGAATGTTTTCCAGTTTAAACTTAGAAAAAACTGTCTTCTAGTTGTTTTTAAACGCGTTTGTAAGATTTAATTAGCATTTATACTGTTTAAATTGAAAAATATTTTAATAAATTCTTCGTAAATGATGATTAAGTGAATTTGGCTGAATTTTGACAAGATTTCTGTTATTAATTTTTAAAAAATTGAACTTTTTAAGGATATTAAACACATGAGGCTTTCAGTTTAAAAAAAAAAGTGCTGTTTAGGGGTTATGCCGGATCGTCTACAACTTCTATCGATAAATCATTTATTAATGGCTTGTATTTATTGATATAATTATTCCAATAAGCTTAATTTAAAAATCGTATTTTGTGTTTAAGAATGTAACTAGTAACTTAATACGGGAGGGTGTAATTTTCGCACAACGTGACGCGATCTAACTCTACAACGTGACGCGATACGCGCGAACACGGGGTGGATAACCTTAATAAATTACAGCAAATAATAAGCTGATAGTGAGAAATTTCTATAGTTTTAAGAAAGTTTATTAATACTTCTTTTTTTTTGGCTCAAAATTGTTATAACACTGAAAAAAGACGCCATTTAACGTTAGTAAATTTTAATACGAAACTACTGTGTATTTGAAAAGAATGATTTTCTTCCTTTTTTTGTAATAATATAGAGCAGCACATTATAATTTTATATACGATTTTATTTTTAATATTAATAACATTTAAACTTCAAAATTTTTTTAAAGATAATGGAAATTTTTTTTTAAAATTAATTTTTAACTATTTGTAATCAGATACCCACAGATGGCGCCATGTAGATTATGTAGCGCCCCCTCAACGAATTAAAATTTTTATCGAACTAAAAAAAAAATAATAATAAAACTTGATCATGGACAAATATGTTGCGAGGAAGGACGCATTTTTCTTGATAATTTTCTCGAATTAGATCAATTTTTCAGTTAAATCCGGGCTAAAGGTGAAGAACAACGATTTATAAAGTGTTAGCTCTTGTTTTCGAGTGTTTTTTTTTAATTTATTTTTCTTCTTTTCTCGAGAGGCTCAATTGAACTTTGTCAATCTTTATAAAAGGAAACAACAGAGGAAATTTATTTGTATTTATAGGGATTTAAGTATAAATGGAACATTGAATGTACATCAAGTAATTTCAAGTCCCGTTTCTCAGTAATTTGTTACGATTAGGTGTTGTAACCCGATCAGAGAGTAACAGCAAACACAATGGAAATGATATAGAATCTTATGTGTTTACAATTGATAATGAATTTGAAACCAGTAAAATGATAATGCTTCTCGAATGGCATTTATCGATAATTTAATTCGAATTACATTATTTCTAATCGGATAATAATTCATTTTTTTTAATTCTTTGATAATATTCGCTCTTCTATAAATAATAATTAAAAGTTGAAGTGCGTACAATTAATGATACGGGTATTTCTGCACCATATCTTCACTACATATCGATCTGTCTGCTGTAGTTATTTTTAGTTTCGGAAATAATAAACAGACTGACTGACAGGCCGATTATTAGTCAATTACAGAATTTCAGTTGACTAATTGAAAATACTGTAGTTAACTGTAGTTAACTGTAGTTTGTATTTGAGGATTTGTGCTTAGAATACGAGGACAAAACTGAGGATTTTTGCTTAGAACATGAGGACAAAACTGAAGATTTTTGCTTAGAACATGAGGACAAAACTGAGGATTTTTGCTTAGAACATGAGGACAAACCTGAGGATTTTTGCTTAGAATATGAGGAAAAACTGAGGATTTTTGTATAGAATATGAGGACAAAACTGAGGATTAGTGCTTAGAATATGAGGACAAAACTGAGGATTTTTTGCTTAGAATATAAGGACAAAACTGAGGATGTTTGCTTAGAATACGAGGAAAAAACTGAGGATTTGTGCTTAGAATACGAGGACAAAACTGAGGATTTTTTCTTAGAATATGAGGACAAAACTGAGGATTTTTTGCTTAGAATATGAGGACAAAACTGAGGATTTATACTGCTGTATAATAAAAAAAGTTTCGTGCCATTTTTACAATGTTAATTTAAGAACTAATACAGTAAAACCTGTCCAAAACGGAAACCTGCCTAAACAGGGAAAAAAATATTTGGTATCGTGCGATTTTGTATGCTAAAAACCTGTTCAAAACGGACAAATGCTTCGGAACTGAGCCATTTTCTATGTTAAGAAAAAAAATACCTGTTCGAAACCTGCCTAAACAGGAAAAAAAATTTCGATACCTCGCGGTTCCGGTTTACACAGATTTTACTGTATTATAAAAATATGATGAAATTTATTTTTATTTTATATATATACAGATTATTTATTTATTTATTTATTTATTTTATGACTTGCATTCCTGTATACTTTATCCTCTATTATTTAACATTATTTTATGGTCGAATTGCCATTAAATTAGGTCATCGTATGAGATTCATCGCTTCATCTTTTATTTATTTCCTATTTTAAAACTCAATTCATTGGAATTTATATAAATAAAACTCGTCAAATTATTCAGAAAATACCTCATACATTTTTCCAATTTACCACCCACATACAATGGCACAAGTTTCAATTTAAACAGGCAAACATCTGTAGTTAATTGATTACATTTATCATCTAATTTTAATTATGTTTGGTGGAGATTTTAAGATTTAATTAAATCATTTATAATTTTAAATTAAGATTTATACAGTAGACTTTCCGTTCTTTTATGATCTTATTGGAAAAATAAGTAGACTATCATTAAAAGACTCGTCGTAAAGCGAGCCATACTTAGCATAAGTAAGGTTATAAATTGATATTATATTTCTAGAACAGTATACTACTCTGTATAGAGATTACTGTATAATACTTGACATTATATATGTGGTACTTATAATATAAAGGCTTTATAATTCGTAAAACTGGTGATCGGTCGTAAAGCGAGCTACTTACTTCCCATAAGTTTAATGTTATAAATTGATATTATATTTTGTTCCAGGACAGTTTTAACTATAGCCTACTACTCTCTATAGATATTACTGTATAATATTGTATACAGAAATGGGTTTAAAAAATTTACAAAAATTTTTATCATTCGTAAAACGTGTTATGAAGCGATCCGTCGTAAAACGAGCCTACTATTCCCCTTAAGTTTAACGTTACAAATTAATAATACGTTCCTATAACAATTACCTGTATAAATTACTGTATGGCATTCAAGAAATGGTACTTATTCGTAAAACTGGGAGTTGTAAAGAGATCCTCAATAAGTTTAACGTTACAAATTGATACGTTTGTATTGTACAGCATACTAATCTATATAAATGAGTATGGAGTATATAAAAATATGGTACTTATAAAAGAAAACTGGGTGTTTTGTAATGGAGATCGGTATTAAAGCGGGGGTCTACTGTATATACAGTACATAATGGTGTATTGACCCGTTTGTTTTTCCGTTATTACAGTATCAGGATCGTTTCGCTAGCCAGGGAGGTAAACTGCGGCATATCCTGCCGGTGGACATGTCTGTGGAGAATCGCATCACATCCAACAGGCATGCATCACCAGTTACCAGACAGCTCGACGCTCAATTTCTAAAATGCGGAATATGCCTGGAACGATATACTGAACCCAAGGTAAGAAAATCGTATTATAATTTTAGTTTTAAAATCGTTTAGACGGAGTTTAAGATATTATTTTATACGTTTTGTAAAGTTAAAGTCATTACCCCGAGGTGTCGTTGTTAAGCTTAATTCACTGTGGAACGGTCACGGATTGCTGCCTTCATTAGATTACTTCTTGCGACATCTGGTGTCGGGCCTGTGTTCGTTCGATTTCGGTTGACGTCATTATTTTCTTAGCCTTGAGACCGTGCCGGCTGATAGATTAAAAGTTCGTGAAGTGTAGGAGGGGATGATACTGTAAAATTATTTATATATTAAGTTCTATCGACTATCCTTTATGCTGCTGGGGATAAAAGTATCTATGCCCTTAATTGTGTTTTTTCCTCTGATTTGTAAGTAAATTTGTTGCCTGGTATTAAAACTCTATAATACCAGGCATTTTACTGATTGATTTTTATATTTAAGAGTGAAATTTTATTTTATTTTTAATATGCTTTCTTATATATATATATTTATATATTATTTAGTTTGCATTATACTGAACCAGAAGCGCTCTCACGAAGATTGAATTCCTTTTATAAGAATAATGATGCTTATTAATGTAAATCTCTAGACTATAAAGGATATAGTGAGGTCCTAAAGTCAGTTGACCGAGTTGTGCGAAGTTTTATCGAGTTTGGTTAACTGACTTTTGAGCCACCCTTTATATGTAGCATAATTTCTGAACGAATTACTGATTTTTTTTAAAATACCCATTAATATGTTATTGTTGAAAGTAATAATTGGAATAATATATTTATTTTTGGTTGTAGTAAGTTTAAAAATTTCACGTCTTTATTTTTTTTAATGTTACAACCAAACTCAATGAAATATCTTATTCAATATAATTAATTTCTGATTTAAAATTCGAATCCGGCGAAATTTTTATGTATATTGTATAGGATATACATTTATTAAATACAATAATGATTTTGGAAATTGGAAAGAAGAAATAATGGAGTAAAAACAAATTTTCAGAAACATAGGTAGTCCNCGAAAAAATTAATTTTCCATAAATGTCTGCGATTTTGGTGAAGAATTTCGTAATTCAACAGACTTCTATTAGCTTTCTGTTAATTGTACGAACTAATCTGTGCCTTTTCTGTTATAAAATTTCTAGTTAAAATACATTTTTATAGCTTCGTCCCTTGCAATTTTAACGTTTTATTTGCGTTTTTACATTCTCCAAATGGGTCAAAACATGTTTATATTGTACGTATGAAATGACATTTCTCATCAACTGATATTTTCGTGATTATCGTGAAGATTGTTAAAGGTAACAGAACAAAGGTCAAGCAACTAGAATAATAATAATATATATATAAAAAAAAAGGATCAAACAATACGGTACCCAATGACGGGTTGATAACCTCATATGGCTATTCACTGTTGTTGATTATCGCCTAGTCATTTCAGGTTTTGCACTGTGTGATATGTCAAGGTTTTTGGTATTCACTTCCGGGTCATTCGGACTGTAAATTCCCCCCCCCCCCCTTCTCTTTCTTTTTGGCATCCATGTGTGTGTGTGTGTGGCATCCTTCGTTTTGTTCATGCAATTCCAGGAGGAGGAGGGAAATTTTTTTTAAAAAAAAATATACACTGAATGGATGAAAAGTTTTGGTAATATTCTTATAAAATTCCGAACTGGATACCAGAAAGTGAAAACGTAATTTAGATAAACGTGTTTCCTTTTTGTGTATGGGATTAATTGCATCAGTAAGTCGAATAATCGACCAAACGTGTCTCCATTAAGATGCGACGTGTTTCTATTATATTTGTTTAAGTAGGTATTTTAGTTATATTTATAAGGATCAGGTCCGTAAAGAAGGGTGAGACGGAGAGTTTTCTTCTGACCCGCCGAAAACACGGGTCCGCAGTGATTCCTACCCCCTATAAAATGAATGTCATTTTAAAATCTTTCTTTATTAATTAAAAAAAAAAAAACTTCTATTCGTTTCATTTGTTCAAAAAAATTTGCAAAGGTGGCTTATTTTTCATAAGGGCATCCTCAACCTCCCTGATCCAGTATTTTATTTGTTTGTTAACGTCTGTATATAAGCATATAGACTATACTTAAGGTGTGCAGTTTATAGGATTATACAGGAATGTATACAGTAAAACCTGTGTAAACCGGAATCTCTCTGTACCGAATTATATTCTTCTTTTCTGTTTTGAACATGTAATACTTTCTAACATGGAAAATCGCTCCGTTCCGAAGAATATTTTCACTCTAAGCAGGTTCTGTTGGGATAGGTTTACTCTATTCAGATTCCGTTTTGGACAGGTTTTATTGTATTTTATTATAAGAAATGACTAGTTTTGCATTCGTTCGAGTTATATTTCCTGTCGTCACAGTCGGTGGTGAATATAAGTTTCCTTTCTGACCATATTCATGATTATAAATGAGAGCTAAACCCCCCCTAAAAGTACTCCCCTCGTGCTTTACCAATTTTTTTAAAGTGACGTTTACTTCCTTATATCCGCTTTAAAATATTTTGAAATCTCATAAAACAATGCTATTGTAAGTGCAAAGTGTTACGACGTCTTTGTCCTGTGTTTACTAACTGTAAAGACAATAAAAACTTATGAATTTAAAAAAGAAAAAGTTTTATATTTTAGGAACCGGAAACACCTGACCCTTTTTTTTTTAAAAATATTTTCAATTTTTTTTTTCCAAAATTTTTTAAAATAAAATGCAAAAATCTACACCCAATTAAGTACAGGGTGGGCCAAAAATCAGTTAACCGAGTTAGATAGATGGAAATCGAGACCGGATATGAAAAGCTAAGGGCCGGGGACAGAATTTAATGGCATATTTAATGATAATTTATTCTTACAGAAAATCGAAATTTGCTAAGTAATTCTTTACGTCGTAATTTTATATTTTTGTTTGTTCATTTTGTGATGATGTAGCAATATTATTTATACATTTTACGTCTACAATACAAACTCGATTACGTAGTGAATACTGCCACACCCCATCAAATACCCCCCCACAATGTGGCACGCACAATAATAGTCCATCAAGTTAAAAATTAGGGCTTTTATATTAATAGAATTTCGTGAAAGATCTGTAATTTCTTCCCCCGTTTGCATGGTTAAATTGTTTTCTTGTTTTTTTTAATGTACTTCAATTGTTCGTTAAACAATATAGAAAATTAGTATCTATAAATCCACTGTGTGATACGCACTAGTGAACTGGAAACTTGGTCAAACTTGATTTCTCTTTTAAGTATCGTATTACACACGTACAAATAATGTATTTTATATAGTAAACTATTTGGGATAATAGAGCACTTTAGTATAATAATCGGTAGTGTAATCGATTTATTAGGGGGGCATGAGTTAGAACGTGCAAACCTACGTGCCAATGTGGATGTTGCCACTAGTGTTATGAATGAAAGAGATGTTATATGTACTGTACAGTACATAACTGTCTTTCCTGTACTACTATGATTATTTTGTTAATTTATTTTTAAAATTGAGATCCCTTAGGTCCTTCTCTGATTACGCTACTGATAATATACCCAACGTGATTGCATTCAACATTATTGCTTATATATATATATTAAAATGTACAAAAATCTTGTTTAGAATTGAATTTAAAATTTAAAAAATTAATTTTTGCAGGTGTTACCGTGTTTGCATACGTTCTGTGAACGCTGTTTGATTCAATACACTCCACCAGAAAGCCTAACTCTCACCTGCCCTGTATGCAGGCAGCAATCTATCCTTCCCGAGCAAGGTGTATCTGGATTACAGAATAATTACTTCATTGCCAACCTCATGGATGTCCTGGAGCAACCATTTGCCTGTCACGATTGCGAGTGCCGAACTTTAGCAGCCTCTAAATGCACTGACTGTGATCTATATTACTGTGAAACGTGCAGCCAGTTACACAAAGAAAATTCAAATTCTCATAAGGTTATAAGTTTGAATGAATTAGCTCTTCTAGAAGAACAAGAAAGAACGAGAGATCATCCGTCTCTGATGTGCCCCAAGCACATTAATCAAACGTTGAGATTTTACTGCAGAGATTGCGAAACTGCTATTTGTGTGACTTGTACAGATATAGAGCACGGAGGACACGTGACTACCAGACTCAGAGATGCCGTAGAAGATCAGAAATCCTCTTTGAAGGATCTCTTAGAGAAAGCATATTCTCAAGTTCCAGCACTAAACGAAGCAATAGATTCGGTTAGCAATATGTCCAACGTACTTTCGGAAAAATACGAGGATGCAATTGGCCAAATCACGAGTTCCTTCGACGAGCTCACAGAATGCCTCCAGCTTCGTAAAAATCTCCTATTGGAGGACCTCGAAGAGGTTCACAGAATAAAGCAGAGGATACTGGAACAGCAGAAGCATCTTCTAGAACTCTGCCTTTCCGATTTGGGTACAAGTTGCGACTTTACAGAAAATGCACTCAATCATGGCACCGATACAGAGATCTTGTTGGTCAATAAACAGATGTCCGAAAAGTTAGGCGATCTGGCAGACATGACTGTACAAAAAATGCCAGAAGAGAACGACTATCTCGTCTTTAGCGATGAAAATTTATCGTCCGTGACCAAATCTATGCAGAATTTCGGCGCCATTTTAACGACAAGCGCGGTCGCTTTCGAAACCACAGCTTTTGGTGAAGGTCTCAAACAGTGTTACGTGGGTAAACAGACTTTAGTTAACATAACGACTAAAGATAGAAGAGGAGAAATCGTGAAAGCCGGCGGGGCAACTTTTGATGCTGAAATTATATGCCAACAACTGTCTTTATCATTCAGACCCGATATTGTCGACCAGAAGAACGGCAGTTATGATCTCATATACATTGTACCCAAAGAAGGAACCTACACGTTAATCATAAAACTTTTCAATCAACATATTAAGGGTAGTCCTTTCTGCATTAAAGCATACGCCGAAGAAGAAAGCTCTTCCAGCGATCGTCCTGTAAGTTCGAAGATTCCCAGAACTACAGGAGTCAGACAGAGAGCCACTAAACGACCTCCGAGTTACCGTTCCAGTGGCTCTCAACGAAGAAGTAACCACATTGAAGACGATTTAGTTATGAGAGTCGGTATAAAAGGAAGGGGCAAAGGAGAATTTACCAATCCACAAGGGGCATGCTGTACATCAACGGGAAAGATCGTCATCGCGGATAGCAATAACCAGTGCGTTCAGGTGTTCACGGCGGCGGGGGAATGCAAATTAAGATTTGGAATTCGAGGAAGAAGCGCAGGTCAGATGCAAAGACCGACGGGGGTTGGTGTCATGCCAAATGGTAATTACGTGGTGGCCGATTACGAAAATAAGTGCGTGAGTATATTCGAACCCAGTGGAAAATTCGTTCACAGAATGGGCGTTGGTAAACTCCTTGGCCCAAAAGGTGTTACTGTAGACAAAAATGGACACGTCATCGTTGTCGATAACAAAGGAAGTTGCGTGTTTATCTTCCAAGAGAACGGAAAATTGCTATATAAATTTGGTTCCAGAGGAAGCGGATATGGTAAATTTGCGGGCCCGCATTACGTTGCTGTCAATAGCAAAAATCAGATAGTCGTTTCGGACTTCCATAACCACTGTATTAAAATATTCGACTGCGAAGGTGCTTTCGTCACTTCCTTCGGTTCCAATGGTGAAGGTAATGGTCAGTTCAACGCTCCAACCGGAGTTGCAGTTGATAGCCAAGATAACATTATTGTTGCCGATTGGGGTAACAGCAGAATACAAGTAAGTATTAAACTTTATTTTGTATTTTATATATTTATATAATTAATAAAAGTTTATACAGTATTTAAACTCACTTTTAATTGTATATAACCACGATGGCCAAGCTGCAAGTGGTTCTTCTAGATCTTTACTGTGGCTCATATTTACATTACACCAATGCATTTTTACATTTAAATAATTTTTAATCTTCATGTTTATGAAATCTTCCTTTGCAACTACCATTTCCAGCATTAACAAGTATACACAAAATATAGGGAATTATTTTTATATATAAACACGTACATAATACATAATTTAAGCCCAGATACACGGGAATTATCAGAACTTTGACTTGATCGTGGACACGAGAGAACACCCCCAAAATTTAGCTTTTTTAAGGTAAAATAACACGATACAAGTGATATAAATTAGTTTTTTAAGACATGAAAATAATTTTTTTTTTGATTTTCTTCGTACATTTTCTTAGTGTGAAGCTCCGTCTCGTCCTTCTCTCATGTTCTGTATACACTTCGTAACAGATGAAATGATTTTTTAAACTTTAAATTAAAAGGGTCAGTGAATTATTGTTAACTTCCTTTAATTATATTCCACTGGAAATGATTAAGGTCATATTGATATGACAATATCCGTATAACTGAGTTTGTTTAGCTTTTATTTCATTTGTTTTGTAATGGAGGACACGAATATCTTCATCAATCTTTAAAAAAATATATAGTTTTATGAAGAGAAAAATAATATAAATTGCTTGAAAACTGATCTAAGATTTTATTTTATAAAATTTATTTCTTTAAATTTGTTAAATCTAGTTTTTGTGTAACTCCTTCCTCCCTATTAGCAGTAAGAGAGGCCTTTTTTTTTTTTAGCAAGCACATAATGGGTTCGTCCAGGCCCACAATAGGAGTTAGGTATGAGGAACGGGGCCGGACATATCTGGACGGACCACCCCCAAAAAATTCTTGGGGTTTTCGATCCCGGTTCCGCCAAGGCGGTACGCTGTCACCTTAACCTCTTGGCCATCCGCCCCTCAAACCCATTTTTTTGATTGGGCCAAATTGTCCACCATTAGTTTAGATAATTGCAATTTACTTATGCATATTTAATCATTAAATTTATATATGAGACAGAACCCAAACATTGTTCGGATGTTTGGTTGTTTACGGCAACGTGACACGTTGGCGATCTGCCAAGGGGGAATGCCTCCCGGGAGATCTTTTATGGAAATGATCCCTATTTAGGTATTACTAACGTGAAGAAATCCCCGAAAACTCCACGTGCCAGCCGTTGGCCAGGCGCCAACTACCAGGGTTCGGTGGTTTTATCTACTCTTCCACCTTTTGGGAATGGAGAAAAACAATTTATAGTAATATCCACGAAGAACTTTTTCACATCTTTTTATGTACTGTACTACATTGCTTTCGCGTGCCTTCTATCAGCGTTAACCTGTATCAAGATTTATATTACACATTGTAAAAACTCCTACATTATAAAATATTTATGTAAATGGAAGAACGAATAAACAATGTGTTCTTTGTCAAAAATTCTTCTTCATATTTCTTGCATATGAATATATTAAAGCTTTTTTTTTTAATGAAAATCGATCGAATTTAATGTATTTTCCAGATCCACCTCTCTATAATATTTTCAGAAGGTAAGAGGAAGGGAAAATAATAATAATTTTTTNATTGTGGATAACGTGCCTTCCTGAAGCAACATTCGTCCATTTATGGGTGCATTTCCTTGCGTGAATATGAAGCCTGGTCAAAACCCTAATCGGCAAAACCCAGTGGGTACGGAGGGAGCGTGCACATTCCCTAAAATCATAAAATTAAAAGTAGTAGAGAATTTCTTGCATATGAATATATTAAAGCTTTTTTTTTTAATGAAAATCGATCGAATTTAATGTATTTTCCAGATCCACCTCTCTCTAATATTTTCAGAAGGTAAGAGGAAGGGAAAATAATAATAATTTTTTGAGATAGAAATGCTTAAAAATTACAATTCTGAATGAGAATTCATATAAAATTTATATCTGAAGGATTTAAAAATTGCGGCCGTAAAACGGGTGCTTGTTTTTTTACTTATCCGCCCTGTGTGCAATAAGAAGGGGTTTTTTTTTATGTATTAAACCCATGTGTTCGGCCAGGCCCACAGCGAGGGAAGTGCCCGGCGTTGAGGGATATAGTCTGGCGTATCCGGGAAGGACCACCCCCGAAAATTTCTGGGATTTTTCACCCATCCGACCGTCAAGTAAAACGGGATATGAGGGTATCTTCCTTCTGAGCTTAGTGGGTATTGAAAATTGGTATTCACGCCTAACTAATAGGGGAGTTTTGCGGGGTTTTTTCACGTTTCTGACACCTAAATAGGGACCAGTTTTCTTTGGAAAGTACAGTACATCTCTCCCTCCCTTGGCAGATTGTCCACGTGTTAGCTGCCATGTTCTAACGATTCTGATCCAATCCTTCCTTCTGTGACGTATACTAATTGTTTAATTTAAACGTTCAAACCATTACGACGTACAAACAGTATAACATATTTTGTTTTTACGAGGAATAAATCAATAATATGCAAATTTGATATTGATTTGTAACCTTATAATTGATCAATGCGTATTTCTCAAACAAACAAACAAATTAACTGATAAAATTTATATAATTTTCAGCTTATTAAAAGTGATTTAGACATTATTCCGTGCCACTTTGCAATTAGTTTTATAACCGTATTCAATACTCGTAGCCGAAAGTAGGTTAATTCATAATTCAGTTAATATGAATATAATCGTTTGACATACACGACACGCGGACATTAATCACATTATATACTTAAAATAGCAAGATAAAAATGATTAAAATTAAAGTATTAAGTAATTCGAGGAAATTTAATCCGTGGGGAAATCCCATAAAAAAAATTCCATTCGTCATTTTTTTATATTAAAAATAAATTCTATAACTTTCGTTTTCATTTGGTTTTTCTCATTGATACAATATTTTATGGTTTATTACGTTATAAGAATATAATTTACTATATTTAATTATAATAAATTATATTCTGTATGTTGTTATTTCTTTAAATTATCTAATTACTTCAACTCCTTCACATTTAGAGTGACTTTTGTGATCTTTTTCTGTGTATAAGGCATGCTTATGAAATTCAGTAAGGAATAATATGGTTTTGGATTTCTCTGCTCATTAATTGAATAAAATTATCTGACTTATCAAAGTTTATTTTTTAAATATTGTGTTGTAGTACTCGGGGTTTGAGAAAATTAAGATGGAACCCTGTCAATCAAGGGATAAAAATAAGACATATCAGTTGAGTAAATGAACAGAATGGTGGTATTTATAATGGGTTTTCAATGGCAGTACCCTTGCCATCTTTTGGTATTTAAAAATCTGTAAAAAGTACAATTATTGCAGAATTTATAAAATAAAATCATTGGCACATGAGGACATCTTCAACTAATAGTGCCACTTTTCTATTGAAAATGTGCATATTGTATGCCAAGAGGTGTCATATTTGTAAATGATCTTTTATAAGTTTTGGGGCTCCCTGTGTCTGGCACTCGACCAAATTGGGGGCTCTGATGACATCCTGTATCTGGGCTTTGATAACATGTAACCATTTCCAACAATTATGTTTCCATAAAATTCTATTTATATATCATTTTTTTTTTTTACATATTTCTCAAATGGTTCTGAGATTTAGCTCATCGTGAGGCCCTCTAATTCAAAATTTTCTAGGCCCTAAGAAGGTAAAACGTGCCAACGACAGGTTGAAGTATATTTCAAGAAATTTTCTAGTTGTTTTTACGGAATGGTCCATACAGAATTTAGTAACTTAGAATCATAAGTTGCGTACTGATGTTGCACTTGATACTCTCCAGCATTTTATTATTCGGTGTTACTGATGTGTTACAATTTAATTATTATTTTTTTTTCATTACTTGAATTGTTTAATTTTTACGCTTGCAGTATCTGCTTATATCTCATTATTACGGCAATTTAACACTTATTTTTTACGTAAAATTCGAAGTTTTTATTTGATTTGAATAATAATGAATTCAATTTCTTTTCAGGTGTTTGATAGCAATGGTTCGTTTCTTTCTTTTGTCAACAGTAATGCCGATCCTCTTTACGGACCTCAAGGATTGGCTTTGACTGCCGATGGATATGTTGTAGTTGCAGATTCAGGAAATCATTGCTTTAAAGTTTATAAATATTTACAGTGACATGTAAGTTATGTACTTCTATTAACAATACTATAATGTTGTTGGCCTTCGATTTAACGAATCTCGATATAACGGAAACAACAGATTCAATCCGTTCGTTTCAAGGCGTTACTGGAATAGAGTGGACCTTCGATTGGTACAAAATCGAGTGACGTTACTTGAAGTATAAAATATACTTCAAGTATATTTTGGCTAATAATTTGGCTAAATAATTTGGCTAATCGGTTGAGAAAGTTTTACCGGGAGACAGAACAACCTGTGAGATGCAACGCAGCAAATAGAGGGAATATACCCATAATGTTTATTCCATTCTTCTCAGTTCAATTCCACTTTCGGATACAACGTTATCGCTCTTGCAATACGTTATATCGAGGGTCAACATAAAGATTCGTTAGGTATTCATTTAGTAATGATTTCATTCTTACAGTTAGACTTCGGAAAGCCGACAATAGGATGGACATGCCAGATTACAAATAGTCCACATCGCAACACGCCTAAAAAAGCATTCCCGTCTTCAGCTACTGCTTAAAAGCTCAAGTGCCATGTTGACATCTTTAAAATTCGCGTAATGGTGCTTCAATAATAATAATAATAATAAAATTACATACGACTGGATATTTTCTCAATTTAATTTATGACGTTTATCCGATAAAAAAAATGAAAAATAATGTCTTTTATAGGAGCAGCCTTTTTAAATGGAACTTTACTACAATCATTTGGTTGAAGATCATGTTTTTATCAAGTTTCCAATATTGATTACAGGTATCTTTCTTAGAAAGTCTATCGAAATGTTTTATTTTGTGATGTTCTTTTATCCGAAGAAGGAAGGGAAAAACAAAAAACAAAAATATATTATTTTTTTCAATTCATTCAGGATTTCTTATAATATATATAAGCCATTAAATAAGAATTTTATCAGTACGCTGGCTTAACTTCAGCGCCATTTGTAGAATCTTAAGAGTGTAAACCTAATTGTGAAATTATCTGTATACCCCTCTACATTAATAGCTTGGTGTGCGTTTTTAAAAGAAAAAAAAAAAAACACTACTCGGCCCTGCCATTAACTCAAATTACTGCACACGAGAGAATACAAACTCGTAGACTTGAAATAATTTCAAAATTATGGTCGTTCCTCCAGTTTTCCTTGAAACAATGGGTTCTTTCGTATCCACTCGTGTTAAGGGAAACTGATTGTGTTACAAGAAATAGGCTCGTGTTACGAAAATCATAAGGATGCAATGCTTTTTTACGCCGTTTTTGCATGCACGTTTGGCAGGTGCCCCCCCACACACACANAAACAGGTTTATAGATTTTTATATAATTCTTGCACCAACGAATACAATTTAAAATAATGTTTTATAATTGAGAAAAAAACATCTTTAATGATTAAATTTGTTAGTAAAAAAATGGTTTGATTTGCGGCAATGTTTAAAGTTCCAGTATTATTAAAGGTAAACGCACAAATTTTTAAGAATATGGATTATGTTAGAGAAATTTTAAACGATTATGGCTTTAATATGTTAAAATCCTATGTTAAATCATTTAATTCTTGAATCATTTCATATTAAAGTCTCCATATGTAGGAAGTGTTTCACTGTAATAAGTCAATATGATCTGTGTGGTGCAGTTTTAACTGAATGCATTCATCACATTCGTGGCAAATGCATGTTAACGTGGCACCTGTGATGCACCCATCGAAAGTGCAAAGTGGGTGTTTTGTATGGAAATTTTGAATCGTCCTATATAATGTATGCACTATTATGTTGTGATCAAAGAATTTTCTTCAGAAAATGTATGTATAAAGAATGAGATATGAATCGTGCATTGAAGAAAACATTAAAGAATGTGGATAATGTGCTTCCCATGAAACAAAATTCATCCATTTATGGGTGCTTTTTCTTGTGTGAATATGAAGTATGTTTGTCTCCGAAAATTCAATTGGCTTTCCGAAGATTTCTGTATATATTTAAGTATGATTTCACATCAAATAGAGCCTGTAAAATGCTCTAAATTACGTATATTAGATGTAAATGAGTTTAATATATAAGTATGTATGATAATTATAATATATATATATATAAAAATATATATATATATTTATATATTATTTAGTTTGCATTATACTGAACCAGAAGCGCTCTCACGAAGATTGAATTCCTTTTATAAGAATAATGATGCTTATTAATGTAAATCTCTAGACTATAAAGGATATAGTGAGGTCCTAAAATCAGTTGACCGAGTTGTGCGAAGTTTTATCGAGTTTGGTTAACTGACTTTTGAGCCACCCTTTATATGTAGCATAATTTCTGAACGAATTACTGATTTTTTTTAAAATACCCATTAATATGTTATTGTTGAAAGTAATAATTGGAATAATATATTTATTTTTGGTTGTAGTAAGTTTAAAAATTTCACGTCTTTATTTTTTTTAATGTTACAACCAAACTCAATGAAATATCTTATTCAATATAATTAATTTCTGATTTAAAATTCGAATCCGGCGAAATTTTTATGTATATTGTATAGGATATACATTTATTAAATACAATAATGATTTTGGAAATTGGAAAGAAGAAATAATGGAGTAAAAACAAATTTTCAGAAACATAGGTAGTCCTCTGTAGTACATGCAAGATATAAATGACGAACGTCTTCAGATGAGAATTGATTTAAATGTCGATTTCTTAACGACAATTGGTTAGAATAAAGCCAATAACACGTTCGGATAAATGAAAACGACAACGAGCTTTTAACCAATCATCTGTTTTGACCTTTACGATCGAAGAAGATGATTTGTTCAGCGTGTCGTTGTCGTCATTTTGTCGCTCGCTTGCTTTATTCTTATACGTCGTTAGGAATTCACCTAATTCTGTGTATTTCTAACGATTTGTTCAACTAATTCCTATTAAAAATGCTAATTAATATTCTAGAAACGTGTATCCTAATCTTGCTTAGATAATGGAGGATTACTGAAGGATTACCTATTTATTTTGAATATAATCTTAATACCAAGTGATTAAAGATAAGAATTTAAACTAGAAAAACTGAATATAATCAAAGAATTTGGATTTAATATGGATTAAACAGGTTTATAGATTTTTATATAATTCTTGCACCAACGAATACAATTTAAAATAATGTTTTATAATTGAGAAAAAACCATCTTTAATGATTAAATTTGTTAGTAAAAAAATGGTTTGATTTGCGGCAATGTTTAAAGTTCCAGTATTATTAAAGGTAAACGCACAAATTTTTAAGAATATGGATTATGTTAGAGAAATTTTAAACGATTATGGCTTTAATATGTTAAAATCCTATGTTAAATCATTTAATTCTTGAATCATTTCATATTAAAGTCTCCATATGTAGGAAGTGTTTCACTGTAATAAGTCAATATGATCTGTGTGGTGCAGTTTTAACTGAATGCATTCATCACATTCGTGGCAAATGCATGTTAACGTGGCACCTGTGATGCACCCATCGAAAGTGCAAAGTGGGTGTTTTGTATGGAAATTTTGAATCGTCCTATATAATGTATGCACTATTATGTTGTGATCAAAGAATTTTCTTCAGAAAATGTATGTATAAAGAATGAGATATGAATCGTGCATTGAAGAAAACATTAAAGAATGTGGATAATGTGCTTCCCATGAAACAAAATTCATCCATTTATGGGTGCTTTTTCTTGTGTGAATATGAAGTATGTTTGTCTCCGAAAATTCAATTGGCTTTCCGAAGATTTCTGTATATATTTAAGTATGATTTCACATCAAATAGAGCCTGTAAAATGCTCTAAATTACGTATATTAGATGTAAATGAGTTTAATATATAAGTATGTATGATAATTATAATATATATATATATAAAAATATATATATAAGAGCATAAAATGGCTAATTGTGTACAGTATATACATTTTATTAGTTTAGTTTATTTTGTTAGACATTCGAATATTTCATATGTTGAAATTGTCGCCATGTTTGTTGAATATATTTGCGATGTATGAATGTAATAGTATTGATGCTTATGAAACAGTATTATTAATAATACTAAAGCTATGGATATCGAAAAAATTGAGTCGTATTTTATTTGAATTCGGATACATAACATACACAATTTTTTTTTCAGGACAATAAAAACTTTTATGTCGGGCCTGTATTATATATTAATTAAATTCCCAATGTGATGAAACGAAATTCGGGTTACTTATTATTCATACTATCATTATATTAATCGATTATAAACTTGGATCCATTCTATACCATTGCATCTATTGTTGTTGGTTAAGTTATGGCAACGCAACAGTTGGGCGACTTGCCCCTTCGGGAGATCTTTTTAAGGAAAACTGGCCCCTATTTAGGCGTTACAGACGTGGAGAAAATCCGGAAAACTTCACATGGCCAACCCGTCCGAGCGAGGCGCGAACCCACAACAGAACTCCCAGTGTTCAGGGTACGAAGACAGCTTGGCCACTTGTGGGCGAACCCACAACAGAACTCCCAGTGTTCAGGGTACGAAGACAGCTTGGCCACTTGTGGGTCTTGCATCCTTTGTAGAATGGGTATAATGGCGTAGGTGTAGATTCTGAATTGCCTGTATAATGTATGGATTGTGTTGTGATCAAACAATTTTGTTCAGAAAATGTGTAAAGAATCGGATATGAATCGAGCGTTGAAGAAAACATTAAAGATTGTGGATAACGTGCCTTCCTGAAGCAACATTCGTCCATTTATGGGTGCATTTCCTTGCGTGAATATGAAGCCTGGTCAAAACCCTAATCGGCAAAACCCAGTGGGTACGGAGGGAGCGTGCACATTCCCTAAAATCATAAAATTAAAAGTAGTAGAGAGTTTTCCATAGTAGAATCACAGTACAGGTAACCTCCGTATAACACGGTAGTTACGTTACAAAAAATTGCCGTGTTATGCGAATCCGTGTTATACGAAACAAAGAACTAATACGAAAAGGAGGGTTAGGTTCCAAAAATTAAAAAACATGCTATTATATTCTCATAATTAAGAAAATTTTAATAAAGAAATTTATCTTAAGTGATACATATTAATATAAATTAAACAATGTTTTCTTCGTCATCACTAAAAGCACTATTAACCGAGAGCGTTTTCTTTTTGGCAAGTTATCCTTATCCTCTGAGCATTTTTCTGCATTATCTTCAGATCCATGCTTTACCTTTTACAAAAAGTATGTAATTTTAGATTGCTTGCTTCTGGTTAAAAGATCTTTATAATTTTCCTTACATGGTGCTAAGCACTTATGAAGAATAAAGAAAGTATGGAATAAGGGAAAACATCTGGCAACTCCAAAATCAGAAGCGTCAAGATCTGGCAACACTGAAACAAGTTTCGAGAAGGACCATGTGTATCCACAGAAGGCGAGAAAAGAAAATTTACATACTTAATTATTAATAGTTTACGAAAATTATTATTTTCGTGAACTATTATTACTTAAGTATGTAAAAATTTATTACATTTCATGTTGCACGAGGGTTTTATCCATTTCTCGAATCGTGTCAGAGTGAATCCGTGCTATAAAAGTACCGTGTTATACGGGGGATGGTACCAATTCTCGAACCGTGTTAGAGTGAATCCGTGCTATAAAAGTACCGTGTTATACGGGGGATGGTACCAATTCTCGAACCGTGTTAGAGTGAATCCGTGCTATAGAAGTGCCGTGTTATACGGGGGATGGTACCAATTCTCGAACCGTGTTAGAGTGAATCCGTGCTATAGAAGTGCCGTGTTATACGGGGGTTACCTGTACAATGGATATTGATACTTGACATGGAGCGCTCCCCCTTAATGAAATTCCTGGATCCGCCATCAATGAGCTTTTAAAATGTTCCCTTTAATACCATAAGCACGAAGAGTTAAAGATACATTGAATATAATGGATTCTATAAAGAAAAATGCACTAATAAATTTTAAATTGTTCTTTAATCAAATTCGTTTATGCCTAGTAATAAACAGGAAATTATATTATGGGAACGACAATCGTAAACGTTAGTGGGATGCTGGATAAACTTGAGAAGTAAAGCTTAAACTGGATGGTGCCAGTCGCGATGTTCTGGCATGCAATAGCTGCTATAATTGCATGCCGGTTGTTTACAGGTTTCCAGCAGTTTGTCATTTCAAATAAATACTGCCGGTTCGTAATCCATCGTATATTGTATTTCTCTCAAGGCTTTTTCCCAAAAGGCTTAAAAGGTACAAGCAAATCAAGTACTTTCAGAGAATCTCCAATAGTTATAAAAGGTTACGAGCCATAGAAAGTAATAAGAAATGAACGGCCAAATGGGAATCCAGGGAATTTTTCATTGGCCGAATCCTTGATAGATATGAAGAAATGGCTATTTTATCGCCCAGATAGCGGAAACAGTAAATAAAATATTTATAAATTAAAGTGGCCGTTGTATTAATTTATATTCGAAACATTTAGTTTTTTTAAAAATGAAGAATTTCTAATTAAATTAATTAATATCGATTTAATTTTCAGATAATTTTTCCCTTGGGATTATTACTTGTTGATTCAAACAATAAAACAAATAAAAATCTTAAGAAATGAAACAATTATTCACCATTAAATAATAATTAAATATGAGATATATAAATTTCCGTAAAGCATTCGAACAATTTTGAAAATTTAATTTAAATTTTACAGAAAAAAAATTCCTAATTTCTCTGTAGATGATTGGTTCCTCCTCTTCTCTCGGGTACTAAAACTGATTTTTCTCTATGTTTATTATGGATTTGGTCTTGCCAACAATATATCCGATGTATCTACTCCACCCATTAATTAAAATTCTGTGGGTTTACCCGAACAAACTGATCCTTCAGAGTGAGGAACATCGCTCTTTACTGCGTCAGTAAAGACCACTGTTTAGAATGAGTATTCAGCTGTAGAGATACACTTAATTCCTCTAGAAATACTTAATACAATTACATTAATTTTATATTGTATATATCTCTTATAGTGGGTTCGGCCAACATAAAAGGGGAACGATTAACGAGATCTCAATCTGTGTTACTAATAATAATTACATAAGAAATACTAAGCGGATTTTTTCCATTTTCATCGTGGATTCGGCCTAGGCCCAAAATTGGAGCGGCCAGATGGTGAGGGATGTTCATCGAACGAACATTGAGCACTAGTTGGTCGCGGGTTCGCTAACCAACAAGCTAGTTGTGTGGAGTTTTCCGGATGTTATTCACGTGTATAACCCCAGAATATGGACAGAAAGTTTTTTCGGGAAGCATCTCCTTTAGCCGAGTGCTCACGTATTGCGTTGCCTTATCCCATCAATCCAATCAAATCCAACTTTATGAAATCCCAGGGTTGTTCTCCCGGATTCGATCACGGGATTTTCATGAGAAATCGGATTAAACGCCCAAAGTGTGAACACATACCAATGCCGGCCCGAGGCAAGTTTTAGGATGGAGCGCGATCCTATTATGGCGCCCCCCTGGGTGCCCCCAAATTAAAACCTTTAATTTTCTTTATCACTGAGGTGCCCCCAAGGACTTAGCGCCTGGAGCGGCTGCTCCGTTCGCCTTATGGTAGGGCCGGCTCTGACACAAACTGTACTAAGTTTTCATCAAAAGTATCTGGGTTCGGCCCAGAATGCGTTAAAATTAAGTTCGAATTTTGTTAAATAATTAAACAATAATTTAATATTTATCTGTATAAATATACGCTTTTGTAATCGCCGCGCCGATTTAAAAAAAAAATGACATTTATGGCTATTTTGGCTATTTTGACATCTGCCATCAAGAGCTGGCAACTGGCAACGTCGTAGGAATTTGGCAACAGTATCACGTGGTATTTCTCTTGCCAAGTTGACGACATGGCCGTCGGTAAAAATAAGGGTCTCGCTAAAGGAGGTAAAAAGGGTGTTAAGAAGAAGATGTAAGTAAAACTAAAACGTTTATTCGTTTAATACGTTTCCTGTGTAAAAATTTATTATATCTATGTTTTGTATTGCGCTGAAATATTTCGGATTACTCTGGATATGTTTGAATGGGTATTGCCAGATGGAATATGGCGGCAGGAATTCTATAAAACATTTTATTTGATTTTTGTAGTTAGTAGGTAGGTAACGAGTTATGGAAGTTATAAAAAGCACTTTTAACTTTATTCGAGCTGAGATAAATGTATTTTTCAAATTTATAAGGAACCGTTTTGTATCTGTTCATTATAGACTTATACTTGCTTGGGAACCAACTTTTTGTCTTTGTAACTAGCAGTTATGAAAAAGTATAATCGTCATTAGTTAGTTACATGCCATTGGATTAATTTAAAAATAAAAATGTATTCATCATATTAGGAATTTCTAATTTGAAGATCATAAGAAAATTGTCCAATATTGATTGAATCTATCAACATTTTATAACAAAAGATTAGCTCTGCTAGACATTATTAAGCCTTGTTAGGGATAAATTATAGGTCAGCCCCACGCACTAAACTCCAAAAGGAACTGTAAGTCTCGATAATTCTTCGCAAGCTTTTGAAGTCAGTGTCCTTTATAGTTTTGCCAAACATGCTTAAAAATTGGTTTTATTGACATGTCAATATAATAATGCCAATTTGTAGATCAATCAATTTTAAAAATTTCAATTTTAGACCCTTTTTTTTTCCTGATTCCGAAATTGTCCCCTGGTTGGATTGTAAACATTATGATCAGCCTACTATGGGGTATTCCAGGAGTCTGGAACCATGGAGAGATATATGTTGAGATTTTTTTTACAGGTAAATCGTGTTGCTGAATAAGGAGGAACAAATTCGAGTTATTTTAGAACATGCTGCAAAAACTTCACTTTCATTCAGTGACAGAATTAAAATACTAATGAATGTTTGATGAGGAGCTGCAGTCTGTATGAAATTGCTGAAGAGTTTGGGTTGCATCTAGACAGTTGTCTGCAATTAGTGGGAAGTACGGATGTAGCCTGTTAAACTCTGATAACTTCACATTTGTCTGTAGGTTCTTACTATCAAAATAACTTGAATACGCTTCTCCTTAGTACTATGTTTTATTCTGTAAAAGAATTACATAGAATGTTTTAAATACGCTTTGCAGTATTGTCTACAAAGTCTGTTAACTAAAATATTATATACTTTGTATGCATTATATTTTCATTGCATTCTAACAAGATCTCCCCAAAGATGATTAATTTTCCTAAGTTTTGGAGGCTTTACTGTATATGATGAAAATGGTATTTGCGTTTTTCACCAGATGCTCGCCCTCTGGTGTTTAAAAACAGAACTACTCTATCTGGGTCGTTCGAATGTTCTTAGTATATTGTCAACAGTAGAGATGAATAGTAAAAGTAAAAGTAAAGCTTTCTGTTGTGTTCCAAATTGTAATTCCAAAGCCATACGCGATCCCGATATAAGTTTTCATGTATTCCCACATGAAAAACAGATAATTTTTCGTAAATCAGAATTCGGAGAATCTCAGAAATGTAACCGACGGAAAGTGTGGATTCGACTGCTAAGAATTGGCAAAAAAGTTATGAAGTATATGGTTGTATGTTTGAAACATTTTACTCCTGAAGATTATATTTTGTCATGTATGCTATCATGTTTTTATAAATATGTTTAGATTATTGTAATTCGATAGTATTAAAAAATCAAACTGAAAAAGATTGCATAGAGTCTATAAAGTAATTTAGTATTTGTATTCGTTTTTAACCTATACTATAGGATTATCTTCAATAAAATGTAATTCTATTCAATTTTATATGATGTGTCGATAAACTTTAAAATTCCAGTAATTTTGTGTGGGATAGAAGTCAATGCTGATATTTGCAGACAAAGAGCACAAAAATGTACAGAACGATCTTGCTCGTTTTTTTTGGTAATACCACATAAAATGACATGTCCTGCTAGTAATACTTGTTCTCCTTCTATAAAATTTTTCGATGAACTGCTACAAGTAACATATTTCATTATATCAGATAGTAATATATAATTCATTTTACATTGACGACTAACAAACGACCCAGATAGAGTAGCCATTTTGTAAAAATACAGCGCCCTCTAAGTTCATGAAAAACGCGAATTGCCTATAAAATTTGAGAGATAAACCTCCAAGACATTTTTTATGGCATATCCTTTCAAATTTCTTCTGTAAATCTGTCTATGGCAAGTTTGATTGGTTGATGTCTATGAATTATGGAAGAAATGATGATTGATCATGATATAAACTACCTGGGTAGAATAAAATAATGATGTAAAAGTATAAATTAATCAGTTTGATTGGTCTTATTATTTGTCAGTTTGTACCAAATTTATATCTTAGGGCATGCCCACACATTCAGTAATTGCCATTTTCCAATTCTTGTTGGTAAAGGCCGTGACACACTAGGCAATTTCTTATCCCAGAGATATGTCTCAGAGTGACGAAAACCTGTTGGTTATTGAGTGAGGAGACCATGAGCAACTATCCTCCATTTTTATTTGTGTTGTAAACTGTACTCACTTAATAAACTTATGCATGCTCGTTGGTCACAGTGAGCAACTGGAGACTTTTTGTCTCCCAAAAGTCAAAGCATTGCTAATTTTCTAACAAAAAACCAATGCTCAGCAAGTAATTGTATGTGCGTACATGTATACTTGCCAAGTGACAAACATTTTGGCAAAGGCAAATGAATATTCAGCAAATACCGGATGTATGGATAAATTTTACTGAATATTTGTTTTAAATCTAATGAAAATTTATTGTATTAGTCAAATGTTACATGAAATAAGGGAGAAATGTGTTTATATAATTGTTTAAATGATTGATAAATACTAATAATAATACTTTTTATCATTTAGTGTGGATCCATTTACACGAAAAGATTGGTACGATGTCAAAGCACCTGTTATGTTCAGTGTTCGCAACATTGGCAAAACTCTAGTAAACAGAACTCAAGGAACAAGTAAGTGTACTTTAGTATGATTACTTCTGTTTATACTTTAAATTAAATATACGTCTGCTAAAGTGTATTTTACATTGTAAATTATAAACATTCAAAACAAAAAGTTGTCTATATTTGAAACTGATATTGTTTTTAATGTAATTTAAAAACAAACCAAAAATCAATATTTAATAAAAGTTATCTCGGATCTGTCCTTCATTAATATCGGTGGTTCTGCAAAGTATGATCCACAAACAAATGCCAGATGATTTGTAAACTAGCTTACTTGTCTCTAAAATGCAATTCTTCACTGTAACTAGAGTAAAGAATACTTTTTATGCTCTGTTTAATTCTTAATTAGTTTTTAGACTATAATTTTTTGAAAGATTTGTGAAAAGAAAGGAAGTGAGTGCATTCAACTGCTTTTTCATACTGAAGTTTATTGGTTGTCTTGAGAAAAGTATTTGCAAATATGAACTGTGCAAGAAAGTCGACGTGTATTTGAATGGCAGCAAACATAGGGCCTTTTATTTAGTGGAATGGATATGTTACTTTGCTTGGATTATTTAATAGCATATTTTGCTGGTGATAGCGTTCTGAATGGATTTAATCTGCTTTTGCAGAATGAAGATGCTACTCTTGAATATTCCTGATAAAGTCAAAGCTACTGCATAATTTTTTAAATATAGAAAATTTTCATTCGTTGACAATTAGTAGGTTTTTGTTCATATTTGAGCAATAAATCAATGAGCAAATTGCTGATAATTTTAAACACGTGTGAGAAATTGGATGCATTTTATAGAGCCTGCGATTGTGTTTGAATGAAGGACAAATCCATTTATAAATGTTGATCAAACGGAATTGACTAGTCTAGAGGTGTGCAGTCTTGAACTGTCACTATATGGATTGCTAAAACTTTTTTTAATTTTCTATTAGATATTTTTATCATTAATGAATTCTTATTTATATAATAATTAATCATATAATAAAATTAAATTTTAGTATTCGAAAATTTTGCCTTAAAGTACTGTATATAAATAGCTGACTATCATAGTATGAGCTTATCACATTAAACAGATATTAGGCATACAGATTTATTTTACATTACATCAAATTAACATTAACTTTGTATGCATTTTGTACTTTTGTGTCCAATTTGTTTTATATTATAAAATTTGTATATACAGGGCACATTCACTAGAAAATCAGAAAAGTTCAGGATGATCTGCAGCAGCAAGGTGATTTTGTTACTCAAAACTTTCAAGTCAGAGGCAGAAGTGATTTTTGACAAAAACCTTGTAGACCTCCATTGGCACGTGCAGGTATGGTATGACAACAACTACATGAGTTGCACACACGAGTTCTAAGGTTCCAAAAACAACCACAATTCTCTAGAAGATTCTCCATGGTATTCACTACGGCTCCAGATGCAGAAAGTTTTCCGCAAAACTGTGGTTGTTTTTGGAACCTTAGAACTTGTGTGTGCAACTCATGTAGTTGTTGTCATACTGTACCTGCACGTGCCAATGGAGGTCAACAAGGTTTTTGTCAAAATCAGACAAGACTATACTTGCTTCATATACTGATGGAGAAGTGCCGTCATTTTATCAGTCTGCTGTCTTCTATTCTTGCAGGTCAACAATGTTACTAGTTGTATCCTCTTGACTTTTAATGGCACTTTTCTGGTTTTTCTACTCAATCTGCCTTGTATACACATTTTGTAATGTAACACAAATTGGACACAAGAGTCCAAAATGCATACAAAGTTAATGTTAATTTGAAGTAATTTAAAATAAATCTGTATGCCTAATATCTGTGTTTATTAACTTAAATCAGTATTTGATGTGAGAAGCTTGTACCATGACAGCCAGGTATCTTTATATTTTAGGGCAAAATTTTCAAATAGTTGTTTTCAGGGCTAAAAGCCCTAGTTATTGTTAAGTGTAATGAAAATGATTTTTACAGTACAGTGGGTGATCGGTTAACGAACAAATCGGATAACGAACACTTTCGCGAAAGATTTTTATGTTCGGACAATGAACGCATGATCGGATAACGAACACCCCACAGAACAAACACAAGAAGCAGCGACGTAAAATAATGAATACCGATTGGTCTTCCCTCGTCTTCGGGCAACAATTCGAAACTTTTCCGAGTGCGGGAGACGTCGACGTCGACGCTCAAGCTGTTATATACCGATCGGATAGTATTCCTCCGAACTTCGAAACTCTCCCTCGTAATTCCAGCCTTTTATTTTTCTGACGAAACAATTCTTTTATGTATTTGCGAAACTGTCAAGTTTTGCGTCTGTTTTTCTTTTCGAAAGATGAGAATNTTCCAAAAACAACCACAATTCTCTGGAAGATTCTCCATGGTATTCACTACGGCTCCAGATGCAGAAAGTTTTCCGCAAAACTGTGGTTGTTTTTGGAACCTTAGAACTTGTGTGTGCAACTCATGTAGTTGTTGTCATACTGTACCTGCACGTGCCAATGGAGGTCAACAAGGTTTTTGTCAAAATCAGACAAGACTATACTTGCTTCATATACTGATGGAGAAGTGCCGTCATTTTATCAGTCTGCTGTCTTCTATTCTTGCAGGTCAACAATGTTACTAGTTGTATCCTCTTGACTTTTAATGGCACTTTTCTGGTTTTTCTACTCAATGTGCCTTGTATACACATTTTGTAATGTAACACAAATTGGACACGAGTCCAAAATGCATACAAAGTTAATGTTAATTTGAAGTAATTTAAAATAAATCTGTATGCCTAATATCTGTGTTTATTAACTTAAATCAGTATTTGATGTGAGAAGCTTGTACCATGACAGCCAGGTATCTTTATATTTTAGGGCAAAATTTTCAAATAGTTGTTTTCAGGGCTAAAAGCCCTAGTTATTGTTAAGTGTAATGAAAATGATTTTTACAGTACAGTGGGTGATCGGTTAACGAACAATTCGGATAGCAAACAAAGTCTTGGAACGGATTATGTTCGTTAACCGATCACCCACTGTATAAGAAATGTATCTGTGTATGATATAGTTTCGTGTGCACAGTGCACTCTACGAACTAGATCTCGCACATTATGGATTGCTTGAGGTCCACTGATGTCCTCATATGACTTTTACACTGCTTAATTCAAAAATAGTAATAGAGTATTTCTGATTAACTGCTTTATGTAATAAGCTTATATTAATACAATTCCAAACTTAATTATACATTATCTCACTCTAAATAACAGGATAACTGCTGATCTGTGTTTATTAGATAAGGCATTGTTTTATTGTTTATTTTTGATAATTAATGCAAAATTTATCAAAATATTGATACAAATAATCCACGTGTGTTTACAGAAATAGCATCTGAAGGTTTGAAAGGACGGGTGTTTGAAATCTCCTTGGCTGATCTTCAAAATGATGAAATTGCATTTCGTAAATTTCGTTTAATTGCCGAAGAAGTTCAGGGTCGCAATGTTCTAACAAACTTTCATGGAATGGATTTAACAACAGACAAGTTGCGTTCGATGGTGAAAAAATGGCAGGTAAGAATGTTTTCTATATTATTTTCACATTGATGTGGATCTGTAATTTTCCTGACATGTGGAGAGAATTTTTACTTTTCTCATTAATTAACTATGTTTTGATTTTTCCAGTTTAATATTACATATGTAAAATTAATTGATGTTTAAATTGATAATTAGTGCTTTTTGTCTTACTAATTTAAGTAGCAGTATTCAGGAAAGCTTCACATAGCAACATGAGTCCTTTCAGTAGGAACTTGGAATGTCAGAATGTTTTGGCACCTGGAAATCTAGAGCTTCTTCAGAAGGAAGTGGGAGCGATATCAATGCAACATATTAAGCTTAGCAAAGATGCATTGGACAGCTTCGGGAGAACTGGATGGTGGTGAAGTCTTCCGGTCGGAAATGATACAAGGCATGAAGATGGTGTTGGATTTCTGCTTAGTAAATGAGCATGATCAGCATTGTTAGATTACAGTCCAGTTAGTGCAAGATTGGTGATGGCAAGGTCTTTAAACCTTGCCATCACCAATCCAAAGCCATTTAATATATCAGTAATTCAGATATATGCACCTACCTCAGATAGCAGTAAAGAGGAGATTGAATGTTTCTATAAAGATCTAAGCATGATAATAGAGAAAACACTGCAGAGAGATGTGATCATTATTGGAGATGACTGGAATGCTAAGATTGGAAATAATAATGAAGGTTTGGAAAGAGTATTGGGTAAGTATGGATATGGAGCAAGGAATGAACAAGGGAAAAGACTGCTTGAATTTGTTTTAGATCAAGATTTGATGATATTCAATACCAAATTCCAGCAAAAGAACTGTAGAAAATGAACATGGCAATCAGGTGATGGAACAACAAGAAAATGATTGATGTGGTTTTGATCCAAAGGAGATGGTCAACATCAGTTTGAACAATGTCGAACCTTTCAGGGAGCCGACATAGGTTCTGATCACAGCTTAATCATAACAAACCTAAAGATAAAACTGAAGAGGAAAGTTAATGCATATTTCCAAAAGAAGAGAGACACTTCAAAGCTAAAAGATGAGAAAATAGGGAACATATATAGAAATACACTTGAGAAGAAGATAAAAATCCTAGATGAAATGGAAGAGCTAGACACAAGAGTGGAAGAAATAACAAAGGTAATAAGAGAAGCAATTGAGCAGACCCAACCAGAAGAGGAAAAAATCTGACCACTGGAGACCCTAAAGCTTGTCTAAGAGAAAAGAGCTCTTAGGCTTAGAAGTGACATTTCTGGAATTGGAAAAACAGTATAAGTAAAAAAAAAGTGCACTGAAGTGAAAAAAGCAGTTAGGATGGATAAAGTGAAATGGCTAGAGGATCAGTGTAGAAACATAAAAAAATATTATGGAGAACTTAAGACCAGAGAAGTATATAAGATGATCAAAAAATGGAAACCAAAGCAAATGGCAATCAAAGATGAGAAGGGAGAGGTTAAGTGGATAGGATGGAAGTTTTACAGAGATGGACAAATTATTACTCTGAGCTATCAAGGAAACGTTAGATACAGATGTATTAGAAAATCTAGTAGACGAATTAAAGAAGATATTGCCACCAAGTGTTGAAAATGAAAATATTATGAGGGAGGAAGTTGAAAGGGTAGCCAAAAAATGTTAAAAGACAATAAGAATAAGAGTCCTGGACATGATAAAATTATAGGAGAAATGATTAAGCATGGAGGAGAAAGCTTAATTGACGAGATAGACCAAGTATACAATGAGGTATGGAAACAAGGAAGATATCTAAAGAATGGGCAAAACCAGTATTGATGACAATACATAAGAAAGACAGCATGTTAGAGTGCAAAAATTATAGAACGATTGCCCTAACTAGCCACGTGGGAAAAATTTTGATGATGATCTTAAAAGAGAGAGTAAGTAGTTTGATGGAAGAACACTTATCTGATGAACAGACAGGTTTCAGGAAAGACATAAATACAACACAGCAGATACTAACATTACAGCCTTTAGTTGAAAAGACAAGAAGAAAGCCAAAAAAATTATCTATTCCTGCTTTGTGGACTTCAGAAGGCGTTTGACAGCATAGACCAAAAAGCCGTCTTGGCAGTGCTAAAATCTTATGGAGTGGATCATAAACTAATAAACCTGTTAAGTTACATTAATGATAATGCAGAACTAGCAGTGAGATTGTGTAGGGAGCTAAGGAACTGGTTCAAACCAAAAAAGAAACCAGACAGGTAGATTCTATATCCCCAACTATCTTCATAAGTCTCTTAGAAAGTGTTATGGATAAGATGATACAAGAGATGCGGGGAACATCAGTTCACAGCATAAAATTCAATAACCTGAGATTTACAGATGACATAGTTCATTGAAGAAAGTGAAGAACAACTAGAGATGTAAAGTACTATTTTATTTTTCTGACTTTCCAACGATTATCGACACGACTGTGTGCCGGAAATAGCCGTTCCCTAACGGGTACTTTACGCAGATTCGCGTTAGTGTGCCAGGCCTGGACTTTTAGCGTGCACCGAAATTAAATAATGACCAAGTTTGTCAATAACAAAGCAAATATTTAATTAATTTCTAGTAATAAACTATATACAAAATTTAGTAAAAATCAACAACAATTTATTCAATGAAAACTCAATAAGAATCAACCCGACAAATCTCAAATCAATCTAGTTTCTAACTTAAATCTATTCCCCTTTGGAATTCGACAAAATTCAAAGACTTAACTTATATACAATAATTCTTATGAATTAAAGATCCTAATCGTCACCTCAGTATACTAGGAACCAAATAGGCTGAAAACGTTTGAGAATAAAAAGAAAAAACTTGGCAAGTGGAATTCAGGTGTGTTCGTATATTATAATACTAGGAACCTGTTTCCTCAATTCTCAAGACTTTCTCTATTTGTCGATCCACAAATTGAATAACTTCAAAATTGCCTTGGAACCATTTGATCCTATCGGACACCTCTCTTGTTCACAGCTACGAAGCTCACTAAGCTCGTTGCTATCTGGAGTTCACCTCGTCTGTCTTCACTTGACGTTCGGTTTTTATACTGTGAGGTGACGTCACAATTCTGAATGAGATCACTCCCCTCATTTGCATACTTATTTGCTAACAATAAACTTTTTCTATTTGTCTGACAACCTATTTTCCGACAATACTCTCTAACCTTTTACATTATTCTTTTTGACAATTTGCGGGATGTTTTATTCTTTTAAGGTTTAGCGAATTTAAGTTGTGCGTGTGGGGTCTTCTCCCCCTTCTCTTGGTGCGGACTTACTTTTTTCCACTCGGAAATGCAAGTGTGCGTGAGTTTTTCCTACGGCGCTTTTCTCTCATCGGTGAGTTGGTTTCTCTTCTACTTTTAAGTTTCTAAGGTGAATGGTGAGGAAACCTTCGTCCTAACAAAACATAAGCCCCAAACAAAAATATAATAAAAAGCAAAAATAAAAGTAAATAAAAATAATGCTCGGACTTGGTTCCTTACAATAGGACTAATATGTGATTAATATTTGCTGATTTGACTAATATGTGAATTTTCTAATTCTAATTTTAAGTTTCTAAGGTGAATGGTGAGGAAACCTTCGTCCTAACAAAACATAAGCCCCAAACAAAAATATAATAAAAAGCAAAAATAAAAGTAAATAAAAATAATGCTCGGACTTGGTTCCTTACAGAGAAAACATTACATCTGCTTAATGAAGAAGGAAACAAATATGGACTGACTATCAATAGCAAAAAAGAACTAAGACAATGATATTTGGTGATAACAACATGACAAGAAACATTCTAATAAATGGGAAAGAAATTGAAAATCTTATAGAGTGGATCATAAACTAATAAATATGTAGAGAGCTTTACATATTTAGGAAGCAAACTAACCTATAATCTGGATTGCAAAAAGAAATAACCATTAGAATAGCCAAGGCAAAAACAAATTTGAAAGCAATAGACAAAATCTGGAAAAATAAAGCAATTAGTTTGCAGAAAACATTAAAAGTATTGAACGCCTACATCATCTGTGTGCTGTATGCCTGTGAGACATGGATAATAACAAAAGAGACAGAAAGAAAATTATTAACAGCATTGGGCTTTTTGCTTCAGTCACAATGTTCAGGTGTTCAATAAAGTAAAGAAGTGTTTTTTAGTAGTTTCCATGATGAATATATAGTACACTTTATGCCAGCACTTAGAAATTAAATATAGGACACGTCAGTGTTGCGGCATTATTAACAGCGATTTGAAATGCTAGCTTCAATATATCCTTCTATCAAAATATTAGCATTTGAAAGACACTGTTACAGAAAGATCTTACAAATATGATATACAGAAAGTTACAAACGAAGAACTTTATAATGGGATATATATGAAAAAGAATCTTACAAAAAATTATACAACAAAAACTTCAACTGTTTGGACACATCACAAGAATGAATAAAAACAGAAAAATTTAAGACTTTAGTTTATGGATATGGATTGATCCAACAAAAGAGGCAGACCATATAGAGAATGGATTGATTATATGAAGAAGTGGTGTGGAGCACAGAATTTGAGAAAATCGGCAATGGATAGAGAGAAATGAAAGAAAATAGTGGAAAAGGCATCACACCAATGGGCAATGAGCCCAGGGTTAACGATGATGGCGATGATGATTCAGGATTCTTATACATCTGGAAAAATTGGGGATTTTCATTAATGTTTGGAAAAGGAAATTTGCCTCTTAGGCTGCCTTATTGATATTTTTTTCATAAAAATTCATGAAAAGGGGTGCAGAATATTTTCAGGACCCAAAAATTATGATAAATAATTTTGATTGCATAACAGAATAATTTCTGATTTTTTTTATTTTCCAGTTTATTAATATTTTAGAAAAATTAAGAAATTTATTAAGGGATAAATTTAATAAATATATACTTTTATACATGAATTATACACGATTTGTTTATGAATAATAATGACTTTTTTTCAAAGCCATGTATATTTATGGTTGTAGATTAATAACAGAATAAACTACTTAATATCATAAAATATTTTTTATTTTTAGTTTTAATAATTCAGAAAATATAAAAAATGACTGTTAGAAAAAATAACTAATTTAAATAGTTAGAGAAGCAATAGCATATGTGTCTAGTAAGTCAAATACTGTTTTATTTTGCCAATGCGTGTACTATATGGGATGGGGGGGTCAGGGAATTTAATTTAATACAAAAATTTGAAAAGGAACTTTTTGTATTAGCTTTACAGATATTTTTTCTAATAAAGAAAAGTTAACATAAGTCAAATGATTTGGATTTATGTCATATCTATTGATCAATATTGTATGGCATGCTTTATTTAGTTTACAGAATATTGTCCTTAACTGGGCTCTTGTATGGAGCCCTTCAAACTTTGTAATGGCTCAGGTGAATGTGAAATAAGTTCAGCTGGAAATAAATGACAGGAAGGCTGGCGTGTTTCTCAGAAGGACTAGAAAATGATTTGCTGTATTTTTAGGGCATGAAATAAAACATTTAAGTAGTCTGGATACTATGATCTTCAACAATCTCATGGAGATAAGCATTCAAAGTTGTAGCCCCCATGCAGTTATGTTGTACATAGCTGACAAATGTACATGGTGTTGTGATTACCTCTAATGGCAATCATGTAGTAAGTCACTAAAAATTGTGTACTGGTGGAAAACTGCTGTCTTATACATGTGATTGTATGACAATAATGAAAAATTGAACACAATTACAATCAAAAATAATTGTAAATTGTGCAATTTGAAAAAAATTGTAGACCTATTAAGTTCCCACTGTTGTCCGTCCATCCATCTTTCCGTAATCTCAAGAACGGAGTTATATAGATGAAAGACTAGACCAGATATGGAAACCTTTGGGGCAGGAGGCCTCGATTAACTATATACGAACTTCCAGTGCAAACTGGAAGTCATGTTATTTCAATACAAAAATTTTTCCCAAAAGGTGTTGGATAGATGACCAGCACAATTCAATTGCTAAAGGAAAAGTATGATGTACAGGGGCAAGCCACTACTAATTTGAGGTGGAGAGCATATATTTTAAATGAAATTAATTAAAAATTGCAGCCTATATCACAATAAATAATTGCTTGTTATATTTATGATTTATCTATAAAGCTCATCTCAACACTCAAAATTAAGCTTTTTTTGCTATTTTATAATAATAATTTTAAAAATTTTTAAATAAAATCTCTAGATGGCACCACATGCAATTTTAAATGTTTTGCAGGGAAAGTTATGCAACTTGTTACTGTATTTTTATTTATTTATTGAGTGCTGATAAACTGGAGACTATAAATATTCTGCATCAGGAATGAATTAGTATAATAATTTGTTCTATGTTAAGATTATAAAATCCTTCTCTTTATATATCATTTTCCAGCTTACCTTCATTTGATGACTTTTCTAGCAATAATCATGAACTAATAATTAGAAAATTGCTAATATTTTTTTTCTCTTTTGAAGTTGTTAATGAATTTTACACCTACATTATTTAATCAATAAATTATTTTTATTTTAATGTTTTTTTTTATTGTTTATTGCAGACTTTGATAGAAGCTAATGTTGATGTTAGGACTACGGACGGTTATCTTTTAAGAATGTTCTGCATAGGATTTACAAAGAAATGGGCCAATCAAGTGAAGAAAACTTGCTATGCTCAACATACACAGGTGAGTTTAATTTTGTCTATTATAAACAAAAGATCCCGTGCAATTAAAATTCATTGTTAACGACTGAGCCAGATGATCTTTTCCAAAATTGTTGGGCTATGTTAATAATTAATATACAAATATTTTCTAAATTTAGAAAACTAAATAATGTATTTTTTTTTAATTTTTGATGTGAACAATCACATTGCTTTCGAATGACAAGAACTAAGCCGACAAGAATATCATCCAATATGTTTTATTACCACTCTTAATGTATACTTGTGCACTTGGGCTTTGGCCCCTCTACAATAATTTCAAAATTTCTAGAAAAAACAATTGGTCTGGAGCAGGACTCAAACCTGCAACTCCTGATTACTGTGCAGATGTATTGCCAGTTATGCTGTTCAGTCCTCTGTCCAATTGTTGCTTCCAGATAGTAGCCCGATAATTTTGGGAAATATTGTTTGGCTTACTTGATTAATATTGGACTAAGTTGTTGTTTATATGATTTAGGTACGTGCTATTAGAAAGAAAATGGTCGAAAGTATGAACAGAGAAGTATCTTCCAGTGATTTAAAAGAAGTTGTTGGTAAACTGTAAGTATTTGTTTGCATGTTCAGTTGTAATCTTGATGAATGTTAAGAATTGCTTCCAAATAAAACTTTGGTTTGAGTAGAGTAAATTTAATTATTGTTTTTGACAAACTAGTGTGCGTTATATTTTTATATTACTGATACAAAGAATGTCTTTGGTACCACTAAAGATTGATGCGCACAAATCAAAACAGATGATGCATTTTTAACCAATTGTCTCTTACAACTGTCGGGATCAGAGGCAATGATTGGGAGAATCAAACATTAGTGCACGATAATTGAAATTTTGGTATCAAATTATAAACCTTGATAATTATGGTATTCCTGTATACAAAATTAATTATTTCTGTAGAAAAAGTCTAGAAAAGCTAATTTAAAATATATTTCAATTCTGTTTTGTGGAATTGAAAAACTACAGCAAGCAGAAACTAAGAATGGTTTTGATTAAGCGTATTTTGAAACTGGGTTCTCACCAAACTGCTCAGCTGCTCACTTCTTGAACAAACTGCTTAGATCCAATTGCTCAGTGAGCATTCTACTATTTACTGGGCAAAGAATTCTTAGGCTCACAAGCCAATCAGACTGTTCAGTTATTAGAAAATTGAGATTATACAAGAATACTTAAATTAAGTGATGTAATAGTTTAATTGGAAATTAATATTATTAATTATATTTTTATTACTAGTATTTACGTAAAACATTTCTCTCCATTCTAAATTGAAATTTGAAATAGTGTACTGTACAAATTAATTGTATCTGTATAATTATTGATTTCTTTTCTCTTTGAATGTTCTAATACTGGTACTATTCGATTTACATTTGTCCATTATAGATTTTGTTAGTGTAATTATTGAACTATTGTGAATATAATGACTAATATTAGTAGTGAATATACGAAATGGATTGAAACAAGGATGTTCTCTGGACATTATTTCTATTCACTAGTGATGATAATTCTTCTAGTGAAATACTTGCATTTTGGTTGTCGTAAAGATGCATTTTAATTTGATTTTTTCTTTGTAGCTGGCTTTTCTGGTAATGGATATTATTTGCATCATGAAACTCAAATTTATTTATATGAAATTATAGCATTACATTTATGGAGCAAGTAGAATAAATATGTTTTTAAAAATAAAATTAAAATATGAAAAATATATAAATTTTTTTTTTCTTTTGTTTTGTGCAGTATACCTGATAGTATTGGTAAAGACATAGAGAAGGCCTGCCAGGGTATTTATCCATTACATGATGTGATGATTCGTAAAGTCAAAGTACTGAAAAAGCCGAAATTTGAATGTGAGTATAATTTTTTTTTAATTAAAATGTACAAAATAGGCATTATAAAAAAATATATTAAATAATTTTCAAAACAAACTAAGAGAGAAATCAATCTAAAATACAGTAGAGCATCGATTATCCGGCTCAATTGGGGACTCAGGTTGGTCGGATAACTGAAAAATCAGATAACCGAAAAGAAGGAAAAAAATACATTATTAGTATAGGATATTAGTATATTCCATGTAATTAGTTTATTAGTATATCGCTATTAACTAACTTCGTGTTGAATTTTCATCGATGTTTAGCCTAACAAATTTTTTTTTAAAATAATAATCGTTGCTATTGTATCGTTAAAAATTATTTTTAAATTTATTAATATATAGTTGGTTTGCTGTATGTTAAATAACAATGTAAATTCGTCTCTGTAATCCAAAACACACGCTTTGGTAGACTTTTCTCACAGCAATTTCTGGTTAGCAAATTTAACTTTTATTACTCATTGAACTACAAATATATTTCGGGTTGGTATAATATACTCCAACCCCTCTTCAGTGCTAGTTCAAATAAACAAAAATGTCAAAACATGACTATGTTATATTACATTAAATGAAACAAACCAAAAAAACATCAAAAACACTTACATTTTTTCATTAAGTACATAACAAAATTTGTTTCTTATTTTGCTATTTTCACAAACTATAGGGTAGGAGGGTAGACCGTTTTACAAACATCAGTTTTTGTTTTTACTTAAATACTATGCATGCCATGTTCATATGTAAAGACAAATAAAGACTGCCATAGTTTAACTTGAAGGAGAGATTAATACTAAGGACGGATGGATTACGTCTGTTCTCCAGATGTCTATTCTGCAAGGTGGGGACATTAACACCTCTATCCCCTGACCAAGTGATCTCTTCCACTGGTTCTCCGAATTTTTCACCATTGCAGATGTGGGGTTAAGGGGAGTGGTACACACAAACATTTTAAAAAATTAAAAATCAAACATTTGTATTTTATATAAAAATTAGAATTTTTCTTTCCATTTTTACAATTTTCAATTACACATGGGTATATAACAGACACAGTAAAAACCAATGACACAGTAACAAAAAATCCATACGTATGTAAAAGCTATTAATACACAAACAACAATATCATTAAACCAGTATTATGGAAATTTACTATTACCAAAAAAATTTTTTATATCATGTTTAAACATAATAACAACTATTAGCCTATTTTCGTGCTATCTATTAATTCATACCACCGATGATCAATTTGCATACCATCAGAGGAATTTATTAAATTATTTTTTTGTTTCCTTATTTCTAAATGCTCTTTAAATTTTCTTTTATAAATATCTTTTTCAAAATGTAGAATTTTTATATTATTACGGTTAATTTTACAATTATTGTTGTTTGTATGATCAAACCACGGAGAGTTATAGTACTTCAATCTGATGGCTGCTTCATGTTCTTTTATTCTAACATCTAGCATACGCCCTGTTTCACCTATGTACATATATGGATTCAGACAATCACATTCTAACCTGTATACAACCCCAGCTTTTTTTAGGCTATCAATTTTATTAATACTAGTAATATTTATGTATCTGTATATATTCTGTGAAATTTTATTGGTCAAAGATTGGCCAAAGCGTGTGTTTTGGATTACAGAGACGAATTTACATTGTTATTTTTAAATTGTTTTATTGCTTATGAAACAAACAACCACTCATAATTAGAAAATTAAGTCTCGTTTAAATATTGGCCTCCCTTCAATGGTCGAGCCATTGATGCCAGCTAAAACATGCAAATATTTAACAAAAATAATAATAAAGTAGCCAAGACGTAGCCAAATATTGTAATGCCACATCACTAGCGGACATTTGAAATTTGCCGACTAGAATGGTCGGTTAACCGATGTGACAGATAATTGATGCTCTACTGTATATAATTATGATTTGTTTTATTTCCAATGAAGTTACTAGATTACTAACTATTGTTAGTTCTCTATTCACTTCATTGGAAATAAAACAAATCATAATTATACACTTTAGACTGATTTCTCTCTTGATTTTAAAAACCACGTGCACCTTTTAAAATTTTGGAAACTGTGTTAGGCAATTAAAATACATATATTTTGTGCATTTTCATTACTGATTAAATGCGTGTTTTTTAAATATTTTTAATACAAACTCTTACACTCCAGAATATGTGTCTTGTCTTTATGTTAAGAACTGCCATTTTAGGGTGGCCACGTTTATTCTTATAGAAGCAGGAAACAAACTTCTGTCAAAATATATATTATTTCTCTGTTTTCATTTTCTTCACACTTTTTAAGAAATTCTTGGCATTCTTACCTTTTAACTTGATTGGAAAAGCTGGCATGGCAACAGTCAGTTTTCTAAGCAAAAACAATGAGAAAAATTGCTGTATTTTCTGGTTTTTCATGTGCACTCTAGCTGTAATCTTCTGTTCTAAGCACTTGCTACAATAAATATTGATAATAGTAAAATATTCTGTGATAAAAATTGGGGTGAATTTATGAACCGATAATTATAAATTATTTGCATACAGTTTGATTGGTTATGCCTTATTAAACATGTAAAGAATAGTGGTAGTAATCATTACTTTCACTTTGTTGAGATTCCCAGAGTAATAAATAATATTTTAGAAGTGAATTATTCAATACTTTTAATCTTAGTGAATATCATATATGAAAGTAACAAGTAGTCGGTAGTTGCATATCAATAAAAATTATTTTTTAAAATCTGAAATGCTTTATATAAATGCAGGTAATAAATACATTTTTTAAGCATTATACTATAATGCTTATATATATAATATAATATCAAAAATACTATAAAATTTACAGTATTTTTGATATTATCTGACCAAAAATAAAAGCTTTGAGTACTCATGGAAAAATATTTAGGAATATTTCTAAACACAAATGCCCCATGGTTATTTTTTCATCTCATAATGCCAAGAATACTATGAAAGCTGGAGAAAACTATTTTGTTGCCTTTTTAGTGCATTTATGTGAATAAAAAAAGCATTAAGATTTTTTTTATATATTGTATATACAGTATAACCTCCGAATAGCAGATCCCATTGGGTCCAAGAAGTTTGTCCACTATTGGGAGGTACGGTACATATGCTGGTTGCCATACTGTGTGTTAATGCAATCATCATATGGTGAAGAATATGATGGATTACAAAGCATCAAATTTATGTTAGGAATGTGAAAATATTGAAAAGTAAACATAGCATATATAATTAAAATATATATATATATATATATACAGTAATACCTCGACTTACACTACTCCGACTTATGCGAACCCGGAGTTACATGATTTTCAAATCTCGTCGATTCGTCTTTTGTTTGAGTGCCACACAACTCTTGATTACTCGTTCCTCTTACACTATTGTTCAGCTTACATGTTTGGACATGTGACCGAAGGGTCGGCACCTCTTTGGTGCCCTGTCAGGATGACACCACCGCGTCTCGGCGGACATGGAAGCCGCGTTATTTAGGTCATGCGAGCAGTCGCGTAACGGAGCGATCAGAGTCGAGATAGAAGGAGAGACAACGCACCGGAAGTGATTTACTCAGACGCTTTTTTAACGTAACAACTGTTTAATGGTTATCGATAGGATATACATTAGTGCTGCTGTTAGATACATTAGGGCTGTTATTAGATACATTGCTCGCTTTAGTATATAATAGTATTAAGATATTATGTTTCTTCCCGTTTTGAGAGAGAGAGTTTACAGAAGTTCGCATGTTGATAGTTACTTTTTTTGAAAGCTTGATCTGGATCCCAGTTGGTAAGACAGAAAGTTCGGGAAGTCCAATAATCCAATAGTTCTTTTTCTTTGATATTAGGCGATTCTTGATATTAGACGATTTTTTGGATATTTGTCACAAGCGAAGAGGTATGTATCCCAAGGAGCACAGATTTTTCGTAGACGTAATCCCAAGGAAGAACTGGCGACGACTGACTCACTTTGTTGTTCTTCTCTAATGTTGAATTGTTAAAATCGCTATACTAGGTCGAAAGGTGATGAGAAAGTGTCTTTATTAGGCCTGAGAACTTAACAGATGTTTAACTCCCAGGTGTAACAGTTGACAGTTATTGAACAAAAGTGTAGCTGTACTGTGATCTTATGACACCATGGAATGAAGGTAGGACTACGATGTGATATTATGATGAGATGATATAAACACATCCGAATTCGGATTCTCACAGACACATAGCTACAATTTATTTTGTGTTATTTATTTCTGTGTTTGTTATATCTACAGAGACTCGAGAGACTGTGTATGGTGATTTCTTGTAACCGTGAATGAATCAAAAGACGAGATGAGATTAACGAGAACATTTATTAGCTTACATACATCCGACTTGGATTTTACATAAATTGCGAAATTATACCCCGACTTATGCAAATTTGACTTACGCGGTTATTGCTCAGTCCCACCTATCGCGTAAGTTTGGGGTATTACTGTGTGTATATATATATATATATAGTATATTATCTTTTTAGCTGTAAAATCATATTTTAATTGAATTCTAAATAGCACGCAGATTGAACAGGATTCTTTAAGCGGAACATAAGTATTACGACAAAATCAAATGTTGATTAATTATTATTCATCAAAAATGACCTGGGTGGAAGTAATGAAAAAGAAAAATGAATCTGTTCTTAAGAACAGAAGGGTGAACGAAGGTCTGTTTAGGTGGTGAGAGTTCAAATGTCGAGTTATGAAGACAATTTGCTAGCCTCTTCAAGGGGTAAGAAATATATTCAGTATTTTCACATGTATAAAATCATTTATGATCTAAGTGAATAATAATAATTGATACAGTGATTTGTCTGCTTTGTAATTTTTCGAACCTTTCTGCTTTCTTCAATGACTAGTTTATTAAAAATTACACTTTAGACATCATAAAGCTATTAAGATTATAAGTTTGAGAAAACTGAATCTTCCTATGCTTTAAAGTGGTTCGTAAATCACCTTTGTAACACAGTCTTTCAACTTTCACCGAATAAACACTGTTGTTGTTACCTTAAAACTGTTATTTTTCATTATTACAATACTACAATTCTTAAATGAATAAGTTCAGAAAAGTTTATGGCTTCTTGATACGGTAAGCTTAATTCCAAAAATAAAACAGAAGTTTAATAATGTTAATTTGTACGACAATAAATGGTGATTGATAACTTAACCAGATTAGTCTTCTCTAACAGATAAAGAATATTGTTTGACATTTTACAATTTGTCCTCCTTCCTTATTCCTATTTTAAGCCAGTCTTTATTTAATGCCTACAATCAAAATTTGTCCTGTGAACAAGTATTTGAACTGAATCTTTGTTTTCATTTTAAAATGTTTTGTATGTAAATAACTCTTTGAGAATATTGAAGGACTTTTATGTTTTTTATAAGGTAAGTTATGGGTGATAGTGTCCATTATTTAGAGCTAAATATTATACACGTCCTATTTGAATGATCTGGAGATTGTAAAAATGTCCATTAAGTTAGAGCTGCTTGCTATTTGGGAATGTCCATTAATGGAGGTTTCACCATATATAATTTTTTTATTTTGTACTTTTTAGTTTTATATATGGAACACTTAATTATTGAAATTTATCTTGGTTTAATAATTAATTAATTGGGAAGTCAATGAAAATGAAGTTACTTTATTTGGACAGACAAAGTTATTAAAAAATGTATAACGATACAGTGGAAATCAGATTTTATCGTAAGAATTAGCTCATCCTAAAATACAGTAGTTAAAATGTACTTATAAAATTGCTTATTTATATCAGGATTTTTTAGTTGTCATTATCTTCAGGTAAATTAATTTTTAAGCTGTCTTTTCCCACCATCAGTTGCAACAGGTGGCCAATAATGCATGATTGTTATAAGTCTTCATCATCAGTTTTAATTAATTCTTTAAGCTTTGAATATTCTTTATCCGTGTGTTGAGACTAAATTGTTTTTACCCCTTAAGCTGCACAGGGAATTTAACAAAACCAGTCAAACAACTTTCCCTTTGGCCAGTTTTGTCTGAAATGGGTTAAAAACCACTGCAAGTAATACATGAAAACTTCATTTGAACCAAATTGTTGTCATATTTTTATTTATTGCAACAAGTGCAATAAACTGATCAACTGATATGATACTACTGATTAGTATATTGTGACAAGTGTGCCAGAAAAAGAAATTTTTGAGGGTATTCTGCTGACTTTAGTAGGGTGTATGATTTTCGAGGACAGGCAAAACTTTCATGTTGGAGGGGCCAATCTCAGAATCTGCCAATTGCTGTGACCCGTGTATCTAAATTAAACCATACCATTACCGTAAACTCGAAAGTGTTTTAAATTAATGGACAAATGTTTATTATATTAATGGAGTAGCTGATGCAAATATGAAATTATTAAGACTCCATTTGTTGCAACAGATTTCTAGTTTACTGAGCACTGCGGGTGAAACAAATGAATTTAACAATTAAAAATTTATCCCTATAAATAAATATTCGTTTATGTACTTGTAAATGATTGATGAAGACAATTTCCATTTATATCAACTAACTTTCTTTTATGCTTTTAGTGGGAAAATTGCTGGAATTGCACGGAGAAGGAACCGGAAAGGGTGGCACCACAGCAGCTCCCGCCAAAGGCGAAGAAGGAATGAAAATAGACAGACCGGAGGGATATGAACCACCTGTCCAGGAAACTGTTTAAAATTTTGTCACTGATGAATACATAAAATAAACTCCTGGATTCGATTCTGTTCTGTTTTCTTTTGTTTTGTGACACACAAATTATTTTCAGTTACATTTGCTCTACAAATGCTCAAGTTTGAATATTTCTTTTTTATCATCACAAATGAATCTTCTATATTTATGAATGTTATTTGACTAATTATTGTTAATTAGTCAATTATTACAGATTGATAAGTAATTTACATTCATGTTATTTCATGCATTGACATGTGACTTAAGCTTGTCAAACAATACTTTCTAAAAGATAGCTTTTATCATATAAGTATATATGTTACCGTTAAAGCTCGAAAGCCGTTAATGCGTACATTACCTAGCTAATCTGCAGATTAACTAGGGTGATCCGTTAAAGTTGTGAAAATTCTTCCATTTCTCAAATTACCTATATAATGTGCAGAGTATCTAGGTAATCTGCACATTACCTACTAGGCACTCGGTAAAGTGAAAATAAGATCTTTGCCACAAATAGGTGTACTTGTCGCAAAAACCAATTGCTATGAAATTCAGTGTCACCAATTTTTAGACTGCACTAATAAGTAAGCACAAGTGGCTAATGTTACCTATGGTGAGTAAAATGGCGGCTCGTCTCTGATTCCAGCAAACAGAAGAAAGGAAACAGTGGGGATGCACTTTCAAACCTAACCTAATAATTTGGTTGGTAATAATTATGGTAATTTATTAGAATAGGTTAGATTAGAACGTGCGTACCCACTGTTTTCTTTCTTCTGTTTGCTGGAATCAGAGACGAGCCGCCATTTTACTCACCATAGGTAACATTAACTGCACAATTATATCATGCGATCACCAGAAAAAGTATGATAACTTTATTATTTTTCGTCTCCGGTTCAAAAGTAGGGTATCGTTGAAGTCGTCTCGGTCCCCTCACTTCAAATAGATACTCAGTCTCGAAATTCCATAGGTGGTTATCTATATAATAAAATTAAATAAAGAACATTATATGAATAAAAAAGATCATACAGGAATATCATAAATTTGAATAATTTAATTTATTTTGTAGTAAGTAACTAAAAGTGTAGGGCCAATCTCACCCATACGGACACGTTAGGCTCAATTAATTTATATTCTCCTACATTATAAGATGAAAGTAAAATACGTGTAAAGCGTTTCATTGGGAGTTTTAATGATTACGAAAAAAAAAATACTATTTTATTTCTAAAGATGAAATAAAAAATAAACTAAAGTGCGATGAGTGATATTTACTTTCAGCAAGTCTCCGCTGTTCAATGATGCGCGAACACAATACATAGATATTACATGAACTAACAAGTAGAGACTTGTAAAGCATAGGTAACTAGCTGCAAGGATTCGCTTCGCTGGGTTTTTATTTGTATGTAATATAGTTTATATATATATATATATATAAAAGACTGTATTTCTAAGTAATCTAGGATCTAGCTGCAAGGACCCGCTTCGCTGGGCAAAAAGTAACGATAGCGAAGATTAAGATAATTGCATTATAGTCAACCTTACCCGTTTTCACAGAATGCAAGAATTAAGTCCCCCGTTTCCAGACTAATTAGAGAATTTTTACGTCAAGTCAAACGAACTTTTTCAACGTTTCTGGAACGTTTACAATCGTTCTATAATCGAACCAATATTCGAATTTAATTTGAACAAATTCGAACGTAACATTCGAAATAGAAAATCACTTTCAAACACTTTCAGCCTCATATCTCCCGCACCCTTATAGCTATCGAGCCGCACCACCCCTATGCACGAATACACACTACATACAAACACCATTCACGTGCGATGTGTAGTTTTGGCGGAAAAGTGAAGTATAGGGACACACACGTCCATTTATATATATATAACATTTCAGACATTGTTATAAATACTTTTATCTATTTCGATTTTTAAAAAGTTCGAACCGTTTAAATCCGAATTTGTTATTGCATATTGATTCGGTTACAGAACGATTGTAAACGTTTCAGAAAATTGATCAAATTGAAAATAGTTCGTTTGATTCTCGGCAATTCTCATCATTCTCTGCGGTAGGTGTTATATAATAATTACTATGGTTATTGAAATATTGAATGTAAATGGGGGTTGCTTACAAAATCCTCGCGGGCAAAGCTGCAGGTAACAGCTAGTATCTAATAAGCTACGTTATTAGATATTAATAATTCATAGGTTTACTTTTTCCCGAGTTAAATCCAAGTCGAATTTATTCTTTTTAGACTAATTGTCTTCATTACTTTTTGGCTTTGATTCTCCTCAACAGTCTGATCCCGCGTCAGGATGAACCTAAGGGTCGTATGTATGTGGGCCGTGACGGAGGAGGCAAATGATGACAAGTGTTTTACACAAGAAAGCCGTTTATTTGTTAACATTTATGCTTACATCGACAGTCCTTCACTAGGGTTCTTCTCGTGGAAGATGCGGAGAGGCAAGGACTTCGGCGTCTATCGGGGCCCCGGGGCGGACGATCGGAAGGAGGAAGCGGTGGAGTCCAAAGTTCTTGGCGACGACACACCACAATTTAAATCACAACCTTTCGTGGACTACGGAGGAGAGCCCTCTTGACCTTGATTTTCTGATTTTTATAGTTTTTCCTCCCACTATTCGAACTTCTGATTGGCCCCTCGTCCCCTTCCTCGCTTCCCGATTGGTCTCTCTTTTGTTTTGGGGAAAACCGAGACCGACTCGGGTCACGGGAAAGGTCCTATTTCAGGTGTCCGTTCGACGCCTTTCTGTCGATTGTTCTTGGGGATTGTTGACAAAATTGCAAGACTCGCGCTCATAATTTAGCTCCGTAACTCACGATTTCTGTCATCTGGGTACTCGAACGATCATATGCAATGATTTATCTCTCTTAAATCTTTTCCTCTTTTCCGAAATTGTTTCCCTAGATTGACTGTTTATGAGCGCTGGGGTCAAAGTTCTACCTACATATGACCACTTGACTCTGACTTATAACTTTTCATTCTGACATTGACAGTTAGTTTAACACGTGTTTGAGTCATCCGAGATTCGTTGTCTACATTTTGTGCCGCATTGTTTAAATTATGGGATTTTCCTCTCCCTCTCATATTTAATCTATCGTTATTATTTAATTATAGGAATATCGCGATTTACATGATTCGGACATCGGTTGGGTCCTCACATTTATAATTTTGATTATTTAATTGCTCCTTCCTCTCTTCCTTGGCATGTTGTGAAATTTCTAATAGTTGGATAATAAACCGTTTTATTGTAATTTGTCTTTTTAAATTATTAGATGATATTAAAATTTGGAAAAGGGGATCCCTAGATCGGTAAAATAGGCGAATTTCCTTCTACAACTTCGGTTGTTGTTCGGTATACAGTTAAAGTTTTAACAAAGTTCGAGCGAATACGTAATTAGCAAAAAAAAGTTGAAATAAAGTGATTAAACAAACATTATTACGAATATCGTAAATAACAGTTCACAAATGCATATATAGAAATATTTTTTGAAGGGGGAAATGGTCTTCACAATTTGAAATCGATCGAACACAATGTGCTCGAATGCTCGTGTAAACGCGCGCCATCTATTGTAGGATAAATGTACTATGCCAAAAACCTTCGCGGGAGTGTATTAAAAAACTTCCGAAGTTTTATGGCAATCGTACTATGCCACAAACCTTCGCCGGAGTATATTAAACAACCTCCCAAAGTTTCACGGCAATCGGATAAACGGTGTGGTAATGCATGAAGGACAGACAGCACACACACACACATACATTCATTTTTATATATATAGATAATATGCAGCAAAAAACCTCAAAATTTCTCTCTTAGGTGAGTCTTCAAGATGCAACTTTTCGTTTAATAAATAATAGAAAGAAAACCTGACATGATAAATTATTATTGAAATGCGAGATTTCCCGGGATTTTTCTCGTAGGGAATAAACGGCGAGGATCCCGGGAAAGAAACCCTACTAGATACTCTGCACATACCTAGGTAATTTGAGAAATAGAACAATTTTAACAACTTTAACGGATCACCCTAGTTAATTTGCAGATTAGCTAGGTAATGTACACATTAACGACTTTCGAGCTTTAACAGTAACATATATAAATATAATATACAGAGTGGTCATTTTCTCTGATTGCACAGTGAATAAGCTAAAAAAAAACCTCATCTATTCAGCAAAGTTTAAGGAAAAGGTAAATGTTCATAAGTGGAATTTTAAATCCGATCCTACTTCATCTCAACCTTTAACCCCCCAAAATTTAATAGCATCGATGCCCATTACACACAAGGTACCGTACCAAATTTCGTTTCTTAATCCTTACCTCATCTCGAGAGAAAATCGAGAATCAGATAAATATGACAGGTAAAGAAACAAAGTATTTCAACGGCGGCTCAGAGGAGGACCTGATTTATGCTATATATCTCATGTCTCTTCACAGATTCAGACTAAAGTTTAAAGAAGTTTTCTACAGTCGTAGTAATTATCGGGCATGCTGTTGATTCATAAAACCGTAGAAAAATTATTAAAAAAAAAAAAAGCTTGAAAACAGTAAAAGTGGCATTGCAGCAACGACGTGGATAGAACAAAAACCCTGCCGCAAAAACACGAGTGCTTGCTATTGACTACAGTCGAACCTCCACTAACGGTCACTTTTAAGAAACATTTTGTGAGCAAAAATTCAAACATTTGTCACTCCCAATAATGGCTCCGGCCACTAAAATTCTTAGTTTTAACTACTCAACAGCCGCCCCTGCGAAAAATAATGTGCTGTATCAAATTACTCACTCTTGTGCAATTAATATTTATTGTATCTTATAATTTATTATTAAATAAAATTAAATTACAGTCATTTTGATAATATGACACTTAATTTCCAATGTTTCATAGTGATGTGATTGTTATAGAAGAAATCAAAATGGCGGCAGTAAACGAGTCCGCCATTTTGATTTCTTCTATACGAAGTCCGCCATTTTTAGAAGTAGAAAATTTGGTTATTGTGAAATAAGATGCTTAAGAAAAATAATCGAAATTTGATTAACTTTTCTA